AGGGAGAGAGGTCAGAGAGTGGTCAAAGAGAGAGCAGAGAGACCATTCAAATCTATATTTGACTAAAGTAATGTGTTTGATATGAAACAGGAACCAGCCCTCAGCACTACAACCGTCACCTGTTACTTCTTGTAAATATCCGGAAGCGAGACTTTGAAAACTTGTATTTACCATGTGGTGATTTCATCAGCAGTGTTAGCCGTTAGCCGTTAGCTGAGAGAGTTTGTGTCATTCTGAAGAACAGGGAAGTTTTCTTTGGTAAGAATAAGTGTAGTGAGGAAATCATCTTTAAATACTAGAATAAAACCACCTAGTAGTCAACTTTACACAGTGGCTGAGTGGTTAGCACTCTTGCTTTTCAGCAAGAAGGTCCGAGGTTTGAATCCCGGTTTATGAGTGGAGTTTGCATGTTCTGCCCGTGTCTGCATAGGGGTCCGTCTGGTGTTCTGGTTTTTCTCTCTTTGGTCTCGGGCCTCTCTGTTATAGAGAGAGAGACCAGAGAGAGAGAGACCAGAGAGAGAGACCAGAGAGAGACACCAGAGAGAGAGACACCAGAGGTGAACATAAGTTGTTCTTCCCTGGTCTTCCTCTCTCGCCTCTGAGCCGGTGTCTCTCTGGTGTTGGTTTACACTGGGACTAAACACTTACAAATCACCACATGTACAACTACAGGAGCTGCTCTTTAATTATGCACGACCAGACGCCCACATCTACTCACTGTCATATTCACGGCAAGGCAAGTTTATTTGTATTGCACAGTAAGTAAGTAGTAGTAGTAGTAGTAAGTAAGCTTTATTTATATACCGCCTTTCACAGACCAGAGTCACAAAGCGGTTTACAATTGTTATTTTTGGGCACTTGTCCTCTCACTCCACACAGAGATGGGAGCGGGGTCGCATGCCAGACCTATTGGACATATTTTTAGTGGTAGGGGAAACCGGAGTACCCGGAGGAAACCTACGCAGACACGGGGAGAACATGCAAACTCCACTCAGAAAGGCCCTTGTCCGGCCGGGATTCGAACCAAGGACCTTCTTGCTGAGAGGCGAGAGTGCTATCCACTCAGCCACCGTGCCGCCCGTGCCGCCCGTGCCGCCCAGTTCATACACAGGCATACAGAATGTATAACAAAACAAGAGAATAATACAAGACATTAAAATTATAAATAATCACAGATCATTAAAAAGAGGTAAGTTGTATGCACAGATAAACAGAGCTGTCAGAGAAGAAGCCTGTCTCACACTTTCAGGAAGACTGTTCCAGATTTTAGCTGCATGAATCTGAAACGCTCCCTCCCCATGTTTAGTCCTGACTCTGGGACCAGCAGGAGGCCAGTCCCTGTGCTCCTCAGAGTCTCATGGAAAGACTTGTAACAAACAGAGCAGCTTTAAAGTCTATTCTCTGAGGCACAGGAAGCAGAGACCTGAGACCAGAACTAATGTGATGGTACTTTCTGGTTCTTGTCGGGACTGGAGCTGCAGTGTTTTGAATCTACTGCAGCTGTTTGATGTGGATGTTAAAACCTCAGTCTGAGTCCAGTATTATTCCTTGATTTCTGAGCGGATCTGAAGGTTTTGGGCAGAGAGACTGGAGGAGACGCACACAGTTTTCTCCTGGAGCTCAGAGATAAGACCTTTATTTCACCACTAGGACATTTCAGGAATTCAAAATGGATGAACGATGACGCTGAGAAAGTAGTAGTAAGTAAGTTTTTATTTATATACCGCCTTTTCACTGCAGATCTGAGTCTCAAAGCGGTTTACAATTGTTAATTTTGGGCATTTGTCTCTCACTCCACACAGAGATGGGAGCGGGGTCGCCAGTACAGGAGGCGCATGCCAGAACTATTGGACATATTTTTAGTGGTAGGGGAAACCGGAGTACCCGGAGGAAACCTACGCAGACACGGGGAGAACATGCAAACTCCACTCAGAAAGGCCCTGGTCCGACCAGGATTCGAACCCAGGACCTTCTTGCTGAGAGGCGAGAGTGCTATCCACTCAGCCACCGTGCCGTTTAAAACATTTAATCCACGGTCGTCCAGAAGCTGCTAAAGATTCAAAAGAGTGTGTGTGCGTGCTTCATGTGTGTGTGTGTGTGCGTGTGTGTGTTGTATGTGTGTGTGCGTGTGCTTCATGTGTGTGGGTGTGTGTGTGTGTGTGTTGTATGTGTGTGTGCGTGCTTCGTGTGTGTGTTGTATGTGTGTGTGCGTGTGCTTCATGTGTGTGTGTGTGTTGTATGTGTGTGTGCGTGCTTCGTGTGTGTGTTGTATGTGTGTGTGCGTGTGCTTCATGTGTGTGTGGGTGGGTGTGTGTTGTATGTGTGTGTGCGTGCTTCATGTGTGTGTGTTGTATGTGTGTGTGCGCGTGCTTCGTGTGTGTGTGTGTGTGCTAGCCCCTGCTCTCTCTGGGTCATGTAAATATTGTTGGAGGTTTGTTTGCATGATAGCACATGTGTGCGAAGTGACGAAACGCATTTTCAGAAAGTTACCCGAGGCCAACGTTCCACTGTGAGCCTGAACTCCACCGGAGGAGACGCCACACAATCACATATTCACTTCATACATGTCATGAATCTATACTTTATATTTACTATAGAAAGTATAGAATAAGAATATATGGACAGTATTTTGACATTGTGGAGGAAGGCAGCAGAGAAACTATTGCCCTGTTTCTACTCTACTCTACTTTAATTTCTGTTACTGCAACCTAGAGACAACAAACCAGTATCCAGTGTAAGAGTAGAGTAAACTAGGGTAGGGTGGAGTAGGGTAGAGTAGGGTAGAGAAAACTAGTGTAGGGTGGAGTAGGGTAGAGTAGACTAGGGTAGTGTAGCGTAGGGTAGAGTAAACTAGGGTAGGGTGGAGTAGGGTAGAGTAGCGTAGGGTAGTGTAGCGTAGGGTAGAGTAAACTAGGGTAGGGTGGAGTAGGGTAGAGTAGACTAGGGTAGTGTAGCGTAGGGTAGGGTGGAGTAGGGTAGAGTAAACTAGGGTAGGGTGGAGTAGGGTAGAGTAAACTAGGGTAGGGTGGAGTAGGGTAGAGTAAACAGGGTAGGGTGGAGTAGGGTAGAGTAAACTAGGGTAGGGTGGAGTAGGGTAGAGTAAACTAGGGTAGGGTGGAGTAGGGTAGAGTAGCGTAGGGTAGTGTAGCGTAGGGTAGAGTAAACTAGGGTAGAGTAGACTAGGGTAGAGTAAACTAGGGTAGGGTGGAGTAGGGTAGAGTAAACTAGGGTAGGGTGGGTGGAGTAGGGTAGAGTAAACTAGGGTAGGGTGGAGTAGGGTAGAGTAAACTGGGGTAGTGTAGGGTAGAGTAAACTAGGGTAGGGTGGAGTAGGGTAGAGTAAACTAGGGTAGGGTGGAGTAGGGTCAAGTCATGGCTTATGTTAAGTGTCAAAGTGTAAATTTAGTTACTCTGTGATTCCGGATCTTTCAGACCTTACAGTGACTCGTAGGGAAAGTATGCAAAAGATGAACACGTTTCGTTGCATGAGGCTAAAGCAGGAAACGTGGCGTAATCTGCAGCTGTTGATTGTGTGAAAATCAAACTCTCAAAGTGCAGTTCAAACAGGAAATGTATGCAGACGTATTATCATAATCCCTGTGTAAAAGTGTGAGAGCTGAGGGAAAGAGAGGCCAGAGAGAGAGAGAGGCCAGAGAGAGAGAGGCCAGAGAGAGAGAGAGGCCAGTGAGAGAGGCCAGTGAGAGAGAGGCCAGAGAGAGAGAGAGGCCAGAGAGAGAGAGAGGCCAGAGAGAGAGAGAGGCCAGAGAGAGAGAGAGAGAGGCCAGAGAGAGAGAGAGGCCAGAGAGAGAGGCCAGAGAGAGAGGCCAGAGAGAGAGAGGCCAGAGAGAGAGAGGCCAGAGAGAGAGAGAGGCCAGAGAGAGAGAGGCCAGAGAGAGAGAGGCCAGAGAGAGAGGCCAGAGAGAGAGGCCAGAGAGAGAGAGGCCAGAGAGAGAGAGGCCAGAGAGAGAGAGAGGCCAGAGAGAGAGGCCAGAGAGAGAGAGGCCAGAGAGAGAGAGGCCAGAGAGAGAGAGGCCAGAGAGAGAGAGAAGCCAGAGAGAGAGAGAGGCCAGAGAGAGAGAGAGGCCAGAGAGAGAGAGAGGCCAGAGAGAGAGAGAGGCCAGAGAGAGAGAGAGGCCAGAGAGAGAGAGAGGCCAGAGAGAGAGAGAGGCCAGAGAGAGAGAGGCCAGAGAGAGAGAGGCCAGAGAGAGAGAGGCCAGAGAGAGAGAGAGAGAGAGCCAGAGAGAGAGAGAGGCCAGAGAGAGAGAGAGGCCAGAGAGAGAGGCCAGAGAGAGAGGCCAGAGAGAGAGAGGCCAGAGAGAGAGAGGCCAGAGAGAGAGAGAGGCCAGAGAGAGAGAGGCCAGAGAGAGAGAGGCCAGAGAGAGAGGCCAGAGAGAGAGGCCAGAGAGAGAGGCCAGAGAGAGAGAGGCCAGAGAGAGAGAGGCCAGAGAGAGAGAGAGGCCAGAGAGAGAGAGAAGCCAGAGAGAGAGAGAAGCCAGAGAGAGAGAGAGGCCAGAGAGAGAGAGAGGCCAGAGAGAGAGAGAGGCCAGAGAGAGAGAGAGGCCAGAGAGAGAGAGAGGCCAGAGAGAGAGAGAGGCCAGAGAGAGAGAGAGGCCAGAGAGAGAGAGAGGCCAGAGAGAGAGAGAGAGGCCAGAGAGAGAGAGAGGCCAGAGAGAGAGAGAGGCCAGAGAGAGAGAGGCCAGAGAGAGAGAGGCCAGAGAGAGAGAGAGGCCAGAGAGAGAGAGAGGCCAGAGAGAGAGAGAGGCCAGAGAGAGAGAGAGGCCAGAGAGAGAGAGAGGCCAGAGAGAGAGAGAGGCCAGAGAGAGAGAGAGGCCAGAGAGAGAGAGAGGCCAGAGAGAGAGAGAGAGGCCAGAGAGAGAGAGAGAGGCCAGAGAGAGAGAGAGGCCAGAGAGAGAGAGAGGCCAGAGAGAGAGAGGCCAGAGAGAGAGAGGCCAGAGAGAGAGAGAGGCCAGAGAGAGAGAGAGTCCAGAGAGAGAGAGAGGCCAGAGAGAGAGAGAGTCCAGAGAGAGAGAGAGGCCAGAGAGAGAGAGAGGCCAGAGAGAGAGAGGCCAGAGAGAGAGAGGCCAGAAAGAGAGAGAGGCCAGAGAGAGAGAGAGGCCAGAGAGAGAGAGGCCAGAGAGAGAGAGAGGCCAGAGAGAGAGAGAGGCCAGAGAGAGAGAGAGAGGCCAGAGAGAGAGAGAGGCCAGAGAGAGAGAGAGGCCAGAGACAGAGGGGCCAGAGAACAACATGAGCCTCTTTTATCGTCCTCTCGCTTCCACCATGAATGTATTCCTCTGCACCTTGTCGTTCTCAGTCTAGTGTTTCTTTGTGTGGAGTTGTTGACGTGGGTCTCACAGTTGTGTAGTGGGTCTCACAGTTGTGTGTTGTTGTGTTGCAGTGACTGAATGGGGAGATGATGTCAAAGCGTTCTCAGAGGAGGAGGCCATGGTGATCGTGAACCACCAGTCCACAGGAGACGTCTGCACTCTCATGATGTGCCTACAGGACAAGGGCACAGTGAGTCTCTGCGTTCATACAGGCTATGTACTGTATCACTGTGTTGTCAAGGAGACAACACAGATGGAGAGGAGCTGGGCTCTCTGTCTCTCCTTTCTCTCTCTCTGTGTCTCTCCTTTCTCTCTCTCTCTGTGTCTCTCTCACTCCTTTCTCTCTATCTCTGTGTCTCTCTTTTCTCTCTGTGTCCCTTGTGTGTGTGTCTCTGTGTGTGTGTGTGTGTGTGTGTGTGTGGCTGTATATGCTCCCCCCTCTCTGTGTGTGTGTCTCTGTGTGTGTCTCGTGTGTGTGTGTATGCTCCCCCCTCTCTGTGTGTGTGTCTCGTGTGTGTGTGTGTGTGTGTGTGTATGCTCCCCCCTCTCTGTGTGTGTGTCTCTGTGTGTGTCTCGTGTGTGTGTGTGTGTATGCTCCCCCCTCTCTGTGTGTGTGTCACATCAGGTGGACAAATGAGGTTGTAAAGACAATAGAGGAAGTGTGTGTGAGCGATGTTGATACAAACTCAAAGGTCAAACTCTTTTAAACTCTGCTTTACAACAACTGCTGGAATATTGTGTTGTTCTCTAAAACAGTTGTGTTTGAAAGTTTACACACTGAGATTCACTACTGTCAGTGATTTATGAAGCCATTTTATTGTCAAATAAAATACTCTGCTCTCTCTTTGGTCCTTCTCTTTATGGTCTGTCTCTGGTCTCTTTCTGTTCTCTCTCTCTTTCCGATCTCTCTTTTGTCTCTGCTCCCTCACTTGTCTCTCTCTCCGCTCTCTCTGGTCTCTCTCTCTGGTCTCTCTTGCTGGTCTCTCTCTCCGCTCTCTCTGGTCTCTCACTTGTCTCTCTCTCCACTCTCTCTGGTCTCTCTCTCTGGTCTCTCTCTGGTCTCTCTCTGGTCTCTCTCTCTGGTCTTTCTGGTCTCTCTCTGGTCTCTCTCTCTGGTCTCTCTGGTCTCTCTTGCTGGTCTCTCACTTGTCTCTCCGCTCTCTGGCCTCTCTCTCTGGTCTCTCGCTTGTCTCTCTCTCTCCACTCTCTCTGGTCTCTCTCTCTGGTCTCTCTCTGGTCTCTCTCTCTGGTCTCTCTCTGGTCTCTTGCTGGTCTCTCTCTGGTCTCTCTCTCCGCTCTCTCGCTGTCTCTCTCTCTGGTCTCTCTCTGTTCTCTCGCTGGTCTCTCTCTCTCTGGTCTCTCTCTCTGGTCTCTCTCTGGTCTCTCTCTCTGGTCTCTCTCTGGTCTCTTGCTGGTCTCTCTCTCTGGTCTCTCTCTCCGCTCTCTCTGGTCTCTCTCGCTGGTCTCTCTCTCTGTTCTCTTGCTGGTCTCTCTCTCTCTGGTCTCTCTCTGATGATAGAGCTGTCCATTCTTCTTGTCAAAAGTCCATTCTTTGCTCCGCCTCAGTCTTGAGATCTTCCCAGAGCAAAACAACAACGTTATCATTTCAAAATATGTGTAAACTCTCTGCTCCTGGGTTACACTGTTCCTCTGTGTTTTCATTGTTATCTCTTTGGGAGAATCCTCACGGTATGTTTCAATCAATCACAATCAGGAGCACAGATAAGATAAACTTAGTCACAACAGTCCTGATTATGGCTGATCTTCAGGAAACACAGACTCTTTCATCATCTCCACAAACAACTGCGGCTGAATATACAACAAACCACACTGGAATTTGAGTCAATAAAGATTCGTCAATAGAACAGGTCTCTGAGGCTGTAGACCCAGGACTGAGACTGTAGACCCAGGACTGAGACTGTAGACCCAGGACTGAGGCTGTAGACCCAGGACTGAGGCTGTAGATCCAGGACTGAGGCTGTAGATCCAGGACTGAGACTGTAGACCCAGGACTGAGACTGTAGACCCAGGACTGAGGCTGTAGACCCAGGACTGAGGCTGTAGATCCAGGACTGAGGCTGTAGATCCAGGACTGAGACTGTAGACCCAGGACTGAGACTGTAGACCCAGGACTGAGGCTGTAGACCCAGGACTGAGGCTGTAGATCCAGGACTGAGGCTGTAGATCCAGGACTGAGGCTGTAGACCCAGGACTGAGGCTGTAGATCCAGGACTGAGGTTGTAGATCCAGGTCTGGTTCCTGGTCTTCATGGGGACAGGTCTGGGTCCCGGGGCCCTGCATGCTGGGAGATTTCAGCTCTGACATGTGTCTCTTTCAGGTGGTGAGGAAGATGATGTGGCTCATGGACCATGTGTTCAAATACACAAACTTCGGCCTGGTTTCTCTGATCCACGGAGACTTCTTCATCCGACAGGTGTGTTATCTTTGGGGCTGAGGATTTCATTTTGTTTTGGATGTGTTTTATAAGTTGTCTGTCACACTTTCACTGGTCAGCGATTACGGTTAGCTTATGTACTTTTCTGGTGCACACTGAGGTTTTACTGCACACAGCTAATCATTTTAATCAGAATCTAAAGGATTTAAGGTGGATAACATGAAAGACTGAACTATTTATTTTATTTAACCAGGAAGGTCCCATTGAGATTAAGAACGTCCTTTTCAAGAGGTAGATCTAGGACCGAGACTGTAGACCCAGGACTGAGACTATAGATCAAGGACTGAAGCTGTAGATCCAGGACTGAGACTGTAGACCCAGGACTGAGACTGTAGACCCAGGACTGAGACTGTAGACCCAGGACTGAGACTGTAGACCCAGGACTGAGACTGTAGACCCAGGACTGAGGCTGTAGACCCAGGACTGAGAGAGGTGTGGCCTGGGAGACTGGACACTGAAGCTAAAGCAGAGTGCTGATTAAACATGTGGAGTAATGCTAACGCTACATGCAGCGCCCTCTGGTATCTCCTGCCACAGCATTAAGAGCATTAGTGCGGTGTGGGAGGAGCAGCATCGATCCGGACTCGGCTCCAATCGAAACTCACTCATATTTGTTCAGAGGAAACACACACATTATTATAAGCAGCAGGTTTAGCAGAGACGACACACGCTGGAGTGAGGCCAGAGAGTCTGTGTGTGCGGCCACAGGGATCACAGAGGGCCCTGAATGGAATGAATGAAACCTCTCTGCTCTCTCTCTGTTCTCTCTCTCTGGTCTCTCTCCTCTCTCTGGTGTCTCACGCTCTGGTCTTTCTCTCTAGCTTTTCTCTCTGACCCCTCTCTGGTCTCTCTCTGGTTTTTCTCTCTGTGGTCTTTTTCTCTGGCTCCTCTCTGGTAGGGGTGGGAACCTAAGGGTACCTCACAATACGATACACGATACACAGCTCAAAGCTCACGATAACGAGAATATCACGATGACGATTATATCACCTTATGACGATTATCAATATATTGGTCAGAAATATACCACATGGCATAAATAAAAGAAAAATGTTAAGTGAAAAAATACACTTTATTTCATGATAAATAGAATGGAGATGTATTACACATCTCCATTCTATTTATCATGAAATAAAGTGTATTTTTATGTAGCCATAAATTAAGTATTGGTACTAATAAAAAAATATATATCTATATTTATATATATATATATATAATATCTTTTTTTTTTTTTAAATCGATATCCATACTTGGCAAATGCATATCGATAATCAAATCGCGGGAGAAAGTATCGCGATATATATATATATATATATATATATATATATATATATATATATATATATATAATATATATCTCTCTCGTCACACCCCTACTCTCTGGTCTTTCTCTCTCTCTTGTCTCTCTGTCTGGCCTCTCTCTCTGGCTCCTCTCTGGTCTTTCTCTCTCTCTGGTCTCTCTCTCTGACCCCTCTCTGGTCTCTCTCTCTGCTCTCTCTCTCAGGTCTCTCTCTTGTTAAGGTAGTTCTAATGTGTCTCTCTCTCTCTCTGTGTGTGTCTCTGTGTCTGTTGCAGGGTAAGGCGTACAGAGACAAACAGCTGGTGTACCTGAAGGAGCACCTGGAGCGGTTCTATCACAGCCGCGACAGGAAGTGGATCGTGCTTTTCCCTGAGGGCGGATTCCTCAGAAAGAGACGAGAAACCAGCCAGCTGTTCGCCAAGAAGAACGCCCTCCCACACCTGACCCACGTGACTCTGCCGCGCACCGGGGCCACGCAGATCATTCTCAAGACTCTAGGGGGCGCTCAGGAGAATGGCAGCGTTAGCGGCAGCACGGGCAACAACAATCAGACAGGTAACACATGTCACCGTAGAATGGACTTGGTTTTGCTCATGCCTTCACATTTGGCTGGAATTCTGGCCCATTCCTCCTAGCATAGTTATTATAGACCTTCAAGACGTAATGCAAAATGATATGACTTTTGTAACTTTAAGGTCACAACAACTGAACTATGTCATTAGTTCTTGGCAACAGTAGCTCAGTTGGTAGAGCATTGGCCTTTGAGCCTGAAGGTTGTGGGTTCGAGCCCGACCTTCACCATCGACTCCTGCTGTCGTTGTGTCCTTAGGCAAGACACCACTTCACCACATTTCCTAGAAGTAGTCTGGTGTGTGTGAATGGTTGGTGGTGGTCTGAGGGGCTGATGTCACAGACTGGTTGCTTCGCTTCTGTCAGTGTGCCCCAGGGCAGCTGTGGCTACAGTAGTAGTTTATCACCACCGTCTATGGAGTGAAAGAGTAATGACATGTGAAGCGTCCTTAAATGTCCAAAAAAGCGCTATATATTTTTTGTGTGCGTGTGGCATTTACACAGTTTGCTATCATTACTTGTAATAAAAGCAAACTGTTCTGAATCTGGTCTTTGATTGTTCCATTCGTACCTGACCAGACCCAAACCGACAGGTACTAGTTCCTGGCTCTAAAACAGTTGGTTTCTTTCACTAGTTATTATTTGGTAGAATCGCCTTTAAAACAGACTTGGTTTTGCTCATGCTGGTCCTGGTCCTGAGCCTGACAGAAGAGGCCTCTCTCTGGGTGCACACACAGCACACCCCCCTCTCACTCAGCTCTGGTCTGAAACTGCAATCCCAGCAGCAGCTAACAATGATTCTGTGATCTGTGCCTCGGTCCGGGGTCTGGTCCTGGTCTCGGTCTGGTTTTCAATTCACCTGCAGTAAAATGTACAGACTAGAGAGACTAGAGCGAGAGACCAGAGAGCGAGAGACCAGAGAGCGAGAGACCAGAGAGAGCGAGAGACCAGAGAGAGCGAGAGACCAGAGGGCGAGAGACCAGAGGGCGAGAGACCAGAGGGCGAGAGACCAGAGGGCGAGAGACCAGAGAGAGCGAGAGACCAGAGAGAGCGAGAGACCAGAGAGAGCGAGAGACCAGAGAGAGCGAGAGACCAGAGAGAGCGAGAGACCAGAGAGAGCGAGAGACCAGAGGGCGAGAGACCAGAGGGCGAGAGACCAGAGAGCGAGAGACCAGAGAGCGAGAGAGACAGAGAGCGAGAGACCAGAGAGCGAGACCAGAGAGCGACCAGAGAGCGAGAGACCAGAGAGCGAGAGACCAGAGAGCGAGAGACCAGAGAGCGAGAGACCAGAGAGCGAGAGACCAGAGAGCGAGAGACCAGAGAGCGAGAGACCAGAGAGCGAGAGACCAGAGAGCGAGAGACCAGAGAGCGAGAGACCAGAGAGCGAGAGACCAGAGAGCGAGAGACCAGAGAGCGAGAGACCAGAGAGCGAGAGACCAGAGAGCGAGAGACCAGAGAGCGAGAGACCAGAGAGCGAGAGACCAGAGAGCGAGAGACCAGAGAGCGAGAGACCAGAGAGCGAGAGACCAGAGAGCGAGAGACCAGAGAGCGAGAGACCAGAGAGCGAGAGACCAGAGAGCGAGAGAGACAGAGAGCGAGAGACCAGAGAGCGAGAGACCAGAGAGCGAGAGACCAGAGAGCGAGAGACCAGAGAGCGAGAGACCAGAGAGCGAGAGACCAGAGAGCGAGAGACCAGAGAGCGAGAGACCAGAGAGCGAGAGACCAGAGAGCGAGAGACCAGAGAGCGAGAGACCAGAGAGCGAGAGACCAGAGAGCGAGAGACCAGAGAGCGAGAGACCAGAGAGCGAGAGACCAGAGGGCGAGAGACCAGAGGGCGAGAGACCAGAGGGCGAGAGACCAGAGGGCGAGAGACCAGAGGGCGAGAGACCAGAGGGCGAGAGACCAGAGGGCGAGAGACCAGAGGGCGAGAGACCAGAGGGCGAGAGACCAGAGGGAGAGAGACCAGAGGGCGAGAGACCAGAGGGCGAGAGACCAGAGGGAGAGAGACCAGAGGGAGAGAGACCAGAGAGAGAGAGACCAGAGAGAGAGAGACCAGAGAGAGAGAGATCAGAGAGAGAGAGACCAGAGAGAGAGAGACCAGAGAGAGAGAGACCAGAGAGAGCGAGAGACCAGAGAGAGCGAGAGACCAGAGAGAGCGAGAGACCAGAGAGCGAGAGACCAGAGAGCGAGAGACCAGAGAGCGAGAGACCAGAGAGCGAGAGACCAGAGAGCGAGAGACCAGAGGGCGAGAGACCAGAGAGAGCGAGAGACCAGAGAGAGCGAGAGACCAGAGAGAGCGAGGGAGACCAGAGAGAGCGAGAGACCAGAGAGCGAGAGACCAGAGGGCGAGAGACCAGAGGGCGAGAGACCAGAGGGCGAGAGACCAGAGAGCGAGAGACCAGAGAGCGAGAGACCAGAGAGCGAGAGACCAGAGAGCGAGAGACCAGAGGGCGAGAGACCAGAGGGCGAGAGACCAGAGGGCGAGAGACCAGAGGGCGAGAGACCAGAGAGAGCGAGAGACCAGAGAGAGCGAGAGACCAGAGGGCTTTAGACCCAGGACTGAGGCTTTAGACCCAGGACTGAGGCTTTAGACCCAGGACTGAGGCTGTAGACCCAGGACTGAGGCTGTAGACCCAGGACTGAGGCTTTAGACCCAGGACTGAGACTTTAGACCCAGGACTGAGACTTTAGACCCAGGACTGATTAAAGGGATTTCCTGATACAGTTTATTGGTTGATGCAGTGTTTCCCACAATGTTAACTGTCGGCTCTTTGCATTCACTTAGATAATCTCGCTGGATTTGACTTTGTGAGCTGGAGGTCCTGTAGAGAGGAGCTGTGTGTGCGTTCGTGGTGACGTAGCTGGTGTCCTTGTGTCTCCCTCTGGTCTCGTCCTCTGGTCTCGCTCTGGTCTCGCCCTCTGTGACCCAGCAGCCGGGGGAAACATAGAGAGTCGGTGTGAACTGTATCTGGGATCAAGGCTTTTGAATATTTTGCATATCAAACATTTGCACACACTGCTATCACTGTTAAACCTAACCACCCATCTCTCCAGAACCAGTCATTTGTGTTCATGTGACATCAGCGTGTTCCAGAGAGCGATAGTTTCACATTGTGGTGGCAACTCCTGGTAACTATGGTAACAGTCAAAGTCAAACTTTTGTTCTAGTTTAGAGATATTTTCTCTGTATCTCTTGAAACTGTATCTCTCTGTATCTCCAAACTGTCACAAAGGTCCAGATCTCTCTGGTCTCTCTCTCTGGTCCCTCTCTAGTCACTCTGGTCTCTCTCTGGGCGGCACGGTGGCTGAGTGGATAGCACTCTCGCCTCTCAGCAAGTAGGTCCTGGGTTCGAATCCCGGTCGGACCACGGCCTTTCTGAGTGGAGTTTGCATGTTCTCCCCGTGTCTGCGTAGGTTTCCTCCGGGTACTCCGGTTTCCCCTACCACTAAAAATATGTCCAATAGGTCTGGCATGCGCTTCCTGTACTGGCGACCCCGCTCCCATCTCTGTGTGGAGTGAGAGACAAATGCCCTAAAAATAATAACAATTGTAAACCGCTTTGAGACTCAGATCTGCAGTGAAAAGGCGGTATATAAATAAAAACTTACTAATAAAAAACGTACTTACTTACTTACTCTGGATTCTCTCTGGTCTTTCTGGTCTCTCTCTGGTCTCTCTCTGGTCTCTCTCTGGTCTCTCTCGCTGGTCTCTCTCTCTGGTTTCTCGCTGGTCTCTCTCGCTGGTCCCTCTCTCTCGTCTCTCTTTCTGGTCTCTCTCTTGTCTCTGGCCTCTCTCTGTTCTCTCTTTCTGGTTTCTCTCTCTAGTCTCTGGCCTCCCTCTGGTCTCTCTCTCTAGTCTCTGGCCTCTTTCTGGTCTCTCTCTCTGGTCTCTCTTTGGTCTCTCTCTCTGTTCTCTCTCTGGTATCTCTCTTGCCTCTCTCTGGTCTCGCTCTCTGGTCTCGCTCTCTGGTCTCGCTCTCTGGTCTCGCTCTCTGGTCTCTCTCTGGTCTCCCTCTGTTCTCTCTCTCTGGTCTCGCTCTCTGGTCTCGCTCTCTGGTCGCTCTCTCTCTGGTCTCTCTCTGGTCTCCTCTCTATCTCTCTGGTCTCTCTCTGTTCTCTCCCTCTGTTCTCTCTCTCTGGTCTCTCTCTCTGGTCTCTCTCTCTGGTCTCTCTCTGGTCTCTCTCTCTGGTCTCTCTCTGGTCTCTCTCTCTGGTCTCTCTCTGGTCTCTCTCTCTGGTCTCTCTCTGGTCTCTCTCTCTGGTCTCTCTCTGGTCTCTCTCTGGTCTTTCTCTCTGGTCTCTCTCTGGTCTCTCTCTCTGGTCTCTCTCTGGTCTCTCTCTCTGGTCTCTCTCTGGTCTCTCTCTCTGGTCTCTCTCTAATCAAACAGGACATTCCGTGCTTCTTTCCCACAGATCCAGTCCCTGCCCTCTCTAACCTCTGCTACAGATATCATGCATCAAATAAACACTGCTGTGTTGTTAATTGTGATGACATCTCCAGAGTCCGTATTATCAGTAATGGGACTGATCTGTCTCTGTCTCTCTTTGTGGAAACTCGAGCTCCAAAGTTCACTGCTGCTGTTTACAGTCTGGGTGGGAAAGCTTTGCATTTCCTCTTCTCCTTTTCTCTTGTAGATGTTTGGCTTCGCTCTCTGCTTCGTGGGTCCAACTTTGGGCAAAGTAGATAGACATGCCTACATAGTTGCCTGGAATTCTGACTCATTCCTCCTGACAGAGACAACACGAGACATGATTTAAAAAAAGATAAATATGACTTAATTTTCAAACAACAGAACTATGTCACTAGTTCCTGGCTCTAAAACAGTTCGCTTACATCTCCAGTGGTCCAGGTCTGGTCCAGGTCTGTTCTGGTCCTGGTCCTGGTCAGTGTCTGTTCTGGTGCTAACCATGTGTCCGTGTGAGTGTGTGTAACTTTTATTTCTTTGCTTCCCATCTTCTCTGTCGAAGGATAACACACTGACTTAACCGCTGCGTAATAGCACAGTAGCAACGTGCTAAAAATAGATTTCAATGTCACTTCTGGAATTACCCTTTCAGGCAGGTACCGGGTCAATGGGAAACACCACCGTTAGAATGCAAGGAGAGGTGAGAGCTACTTTGAGACTGTATACAGATGGACAATGCTAACAAAGACTGTATACAGATGGACAATGCTAACGTAGACTGTATACAGATGGACAATGCTAACAAAGACTGTATACAGATGGACAATGCTAACGTAGACTGTATACAGATGGACAATGCTAACAAAGACTGTATACAGATGGACAATGCTAACGTAGACTGTATACAGATGGGCAATGCTAAATGATGTAACAATTTTTTACAATTTTCAAGCATCGAGCGTATATTAGGAGTGGACTAACAGAGTGTGACATCACCACAGTGTGACATCACCACAGTGTGACATCACCACAGTGTGACGTCACCACAGTGTGACATCACCACATTGTGACATCACCACAGTGTGACATCACCACAGTGTGACATCACCACAGTGTGACATCACCACAGTGTGACATCACCACAGTGTGACATCACCACAGTGTGACATCACCACAGTGTGACATCACCACAGTGTTAGCCTTAATGCAGAAGAAGCTGATAGGAACATAAGCTAGCTTGAGACACTTTCCTTATATGGGCATTTGTTCTGACAATGTTGGCTTCATGCCTTAACAGGGACAGATGTGTTGCTAAGACGGTTGCTAAGGCAAGCAGGAGGTTCCCCGAGAATGAAGGCCTCTGATTGGTCAGTCAAGACAATGTCACATATAAACAGCAGTATCACAGAGAGTGACTTACCACAGATTTAAGCCTAAAATGGTGCGTGTGACACAAATGTTTATTTATTTATTGTTTATTTGGTTGGGACAGTACAGGTTAATGTAAACATTACTCCAGATTGTAGCCTTGGGCTATTTTGCATCTGTTGTCTCTAGAGGTGCAACGGTTCATCACTGATCCGTGATCCGTTCGGTTCAACGTCTTCGGTTCGGTACAGACGTGATCCGCGGTTTGATTTATGAAAAAAAAGTTGTGCGCACATTGTTCAGTCCACACACAGCGCGGTCATTGCGAGCGGAGGAACGGAGATGCTTGAAAGCCCCGCGTCATTTAAATCCCCAGTATGAGAGCATTTTGTCTTCACTGTAACTACACTGATAATTAATATTCGACAAAACTGTCACGATGTGTAAGCACTGTGGCACAAGAAAGACATGAGTGAAAAAAGCGTGTCAACGACCGCTTATTGTCGCGGCATTTAAGCAGCTCCTTTACGCACAGTCAGACCGGGCTAAAGTCAACTCTCCCGCGCATCCTCAGCTCAGCTCACGACTGACGCTTGGACGTCCCGCGGAACCTATAATAGATCCATGAGCGGAACCGCTCACTTCATCACCGCAGACTGGGAGATGAAAAGTCTGGCGCTGCAGACACGCCCCCTCTACGACAGTCACACTGTCACACAGCGCAGGTACTGACACAAGCAGCGGAGGAATGGAAGACAAAGGCCCAGTACTAATATCCCAGTCACAACTGATAATGCCAAAAATTAGATAAATGCAGTGAATGAGGCTGGGCCCAGAATGGACCCCCTCCTTGGGAGAATCAGGAAGGTGGTGTAATATATGAGGGTAAATATCCTCATAAAGTGCCTTCTTATGTTGCACTTTGTGTTGTTTTTCATTAATTATGTTAAATAGACATAATTGGATGGATGGAATATTCCATCCATCCATCCATCCATTTTCTTCCCCTTAATTCATTTCTAGGTCAGGGGGGGCAGTCAGAGCAGGTGCCGAGTCCACATGAGCTGTGTTTATTAAAAAGACAACACTTTTTTTTTTGAAAAATGAACCGAAAAATGAACCGAACCGTGGCCTCTGAACCGAGGTACGAACCGAACCGTGATTTTTTCAAACCGTTGCATTCACTCTCACAAACACACACTCCTTCTCCCTGAACTATTCACATGTTTTTTTAGTGGCAGGGGAAACTGGAGAACCCGGAGGAAACCTATGCAGACACGGGGAGAACATGCAAACTCCACTCAGAAAGGCCCTGTTCCGACCTGGATTTGAACCCTGGACCTTCTTGCTAAGAAGTGAGAGTGCTAACCACTCAGCCACCGTGCCCATTAGCTCATGTTTCTGAGTTAGAGGCAGAGTCAGACCTGGTGCTTATCTCCCGAGTGTTTCCTTGTTGCACAAACAGCTGTGGGACTTGTTCTTACTCGTTTGTCGTCTGCCGAGTCTTTGCTTGTTCAGGACTGTGGGAACATTCTAAACTCTTCACCATGAAACACACAGCTCTTCTATGGTCTCAGTTCAGTCTCCACATGGTCTCCACATGGTCTGCAGAACTCTGAATACCTTTCCAGCTGGTTTTGGCACAGATCTAGTCTTGGCCAGGGTCAGGTCGTCTTGGTCTGGTCCTGGTCTTGTTTTGGTACTGATAATCATAATCTTAATAATAATGCATTCCATTTATAACGCCCTCCCTCTGGATGGGGAAGTCTGGGAGTCTCTGCTTAGACGGCTGCCCCTGCGACCCAGCAACAGATAAAGCGGAAGAAATTGCATGAATGGAATTTATAGCATAGCATAGTTCTTTACAGATGCAAACACGTCTCAAAGTGCTCTATGGTCTGGTCCACGTCCAGATCTAGCCTTTGTTTTGGTTCAAATCAAGTCTTGTTCAGGGTTTGGTCTTCGGTCTGATCTTGGGTCTTGGGTTTTACTTAGTGGTGGTTTCCTAGAGTGGTTGTGTATTTTAGTTTCGTGTATTTCTGTCTCTGTCACATCTTTAGATCAGCATTTTTCAGACTGAAAAGTGAAAAAGAGAGGACCACCCCCACTCAGCCAATCAGCTCTCAGCCCAAGGAGTCAAATAGTGACTCAGAGGGCTCTTCTCACACAACTGATCATGTATTTTCTAATGAGATGAATGTTACTTTGATCATGTGTCATTTATGATCCAGTAGAAGTTACACAGCCCAGCTTTAAAGTGTGAGAGTTCTGGTGTCTGTTAGCTGGTGCAGTGTATGCTAACAGGGTGTGTTGTGTATGCTAACTGTGTGTTGTTACAGATAGTTAACTGTGTGTGTTGTGTATGCTAACTGTGTGTGTTGTGTAATATTAGGGCTGCAACTAACGATTATTTAGATAATCGATTAATCAGGCGATTATTTTTACGATTAATCGATTAATCGGTTTATGTACTTATATTTTAGTTTTGCCAATTTTTTTCCAAGTAAATTGTTAACAAAGGGCCTTCATCATTCAACATAGACTTTTTAGAGATTTTAACCATTTTACATATTCATATCCACATCAAAAACTTAACTGGAGCTGTTTATTATGTCTTTGTAATCCTTTGTTGAACTCAATGTCGACCATCAAAACAAAACACTGACCATTACATACTCTAGCAAATTTCACAAGGAGATTTCCAATAATGTTTTCACCATGAAAATCCTTAGGGCTTCTGAAGTAGTTTAAAATCCCGAACAAGGCTTATTTAAGTTGATAAACTGATAAATGTTTTTTTTTTTTTACATCTTTGTGCAAATTATTTGAAAGATCAACTTTATGCCTAAAACAGTGAGTGTGGCGCCATCTTTTGCAAACAGTCAGTACTGCAGAGAGATGGTTTAAGGTGCTCACGCAGAGACGTAGTACTCCCGTGCCAGGCCAAGTCAGTAGCGCAGAGTTTACAGGTTACTCTTCTTTTTTGAAGGTTCAAAGTAAAGTGCTCCCACACTTTGGATGACTTCGTTCGATTAGGTTTGTCTTCTGCTTTTTTCCTTTTTTTTCTCGAGCTTACTCCGCTTGCCTCCGCCATCTTGCTGTATGCTGAAGAGAAGCTGTGCGCGAAGCATGTGACATAAAAGGAGGCCAGCTATTGGCTATTCGCTACTTCTCCTGCTGTAAAACCTCCGGTGGCTCATTACTGCCACCATTTGGTCACCGCAGAGTTAAAATATGCACGAAATGAGCCGCTTACGGCAAAATAAAAGTTATTTAGCAACTAATCGATGACTAAATTAGTTGACAACTATTTTAATAATCGATTTTAATCGATTAAATCGATTAGTTGTTTCAGCTCTATTGTGTATGCTAACTGTCTGGGTTGTTGCAGATAGTTAACTGTGTGTGTTGTGTATGCTAACTGTGTGTGTTGTGCTTGTGTTTCAGGCGTCTCTAAGACCAAAGGGCTGCAGTGGGTAATAGACGTGACTATAGCGTACCCCAAAGCTCGACCAATGGACATCCAGACGTGGATCTTTGGATACCGCCCCCCGACTGTCACACACGTGCACTACAGGTCAGACCCTCCTCGCGGTTCTTTGTTCTGTTTTCATGACGGACGGTTTACAGATGGACAATGCTAACCTGCTAGCTAAATGAATCCCAATAGTTGCTCTTTCTCTCTGGACTGTCTCTCTGGGCTTTTATTTCTGGTTTCTCTCTGGTTTCTCTCTGGTGTCTCTCTGGTGTCTCTCTGGTGTCTCTCTGGTGTCTCTCTGGTGTCTCTCTGGTGTCTCTCTGGTGTCTCTCTGGTCTCTCTCTGGGCTTTTATTTTTGGTGTCTCTCTGGTGTCTCTCTGGTATCTCTCTGGTGTCTCTGGTCTCTCTCTGGGCTTTTATTTCTGGTTTCTCTCTGGTGTCTCTCTGGTGTCTCTCTGGTGTCTCTGGTCTCTCTCTGGGCTTTTATTTCTGGTTTCTCTCTGGTGTCTCTCTGGTGTCTCTCTGGTCTCTCTCTGGGCTTTTATTTCTGGTTTCTCTCTGGTGTCTCTCTGGTGTCTCTCTGGTGTCTCTCTGGTGTCTCTCTGGGCTTTTATTTCTGGTTTCTCTCTGGTGTCTCTCTGGTGTCTCTCTGGTGTCTCTCTGGTCTCTCTCTGGGCTTTTATTTCTGGTTTCTCTCTGGTGTCTCTCTGGTGTCTCTCTGGGCTTTTATTTCTGGTTTCTCTCTGGTGTCTCTCTGGTGTCTCTCTGGGCTTTTATTTCTGGTTTCTCTCTGGTGTCTCTCTGGTGTCTCTCTGGTGTCTCTCTGGTGTCTCTCTGGGCTTTTATTTCTGGTTTCTCTCTGGTTTCTCTCTGGTGTCTCTCTGGTGTCTCTCTGGTGTCTCTCTGGTCTCTCTCTGGGCTTTTATTTTTGGTGTCTCTCTGGTGTCTCTCTGGTATCTCTCTGGTGTCTCTGGTCTCTCTCTGGGCTTTTATTTCTGGTTTCTCTCTGGTGTCTCTCTGGTGTCTCTCTGGTGTCTCTCTGGTCTCTCTCTGGGCTTTTATTTCTGGTTTCTCTCTGGTGTCTCTCTGGTGTCTCTCTGGTGTCTCTCTGGGCTTTTATTTCTGGTTTCTCTCTGGTGTCTCTCTGGTGTCTCTCTGGTGTCTCTCTGGTCTCTCTCTGGGCTTTTATTTCTGGTTTCTCTCTGGTGTCTCTCTGGTGTCTCTCTGGTGTCTCTCTGGGCTTTTATTTCTGATCTCTCTCTGGTGTCTCTCTGGTGTCTCTCTGGTGTCTCTCTGGTTTCTCTCTGGTGTCTCTCTGGTGTCTCTCTGGGCTTTTATTTCTGGTTTCTCTCTGGTGTCTCTCTGGTGTCTCTCTGGTGTCTCTCTGGTGTCTCTCTGGTGTCTCTCTGGTTTCTCTCTGGTGTCTCTCTGGTGTCTCTCTGGTGTCTCTCTGGTGTCTCTCTGGTGTCTCTCTGGTGTCTCTCTGGTCTGAGCTGACAGAGAGCTGTGTTTTTGAGGAGGCAGCAATGAAAAGTGCAGTGAGAGTCAGCATCAGCAGCTCTGCTTTGTGGAAATCAGCCGTTTGAGTCTGAGCGAAAAGACAGACTGAGAATGTGCAACGTGTGGACCTGAAGGGAGAGACCAGGGAGAGACCAGGGAGAGACCAGGGAGAGACCAGGAAGAGACCAGGGAGAGACCAGGGAGAGACCAGGGAGAGACCAGGGAGAGACCAGGGAGAGACCAGAGAGAGACCAGAGAGAGACCAGAGAGAGACCAGAGAGAGACCAGAGAGAGACCAGAGAGAGACCAGAGAGAGACCAGAGAGAGACCAGAGAGAGACCAGAGAGAGACCAGAGAGAGACCAGAGAGAGACCAGAGAGAGACCAGAGAGAGACCAGAGAGAGACCAGAGAGAGACCAGAGAGAGACCAGAGAGAGACCAGAGAGAGACCAGAGAGAGACCAGAGAGAGACCAGAGAGAGACCAGAGAGAGACCAGAGAGAGACCAGAGAGAGACCAGGGAGAGAGAACAATTATCAAAATAATCAGCTTTAGTTGACCTGAACCCTAGTCTTATCTTTGCCCTGGGTGGATCTTGCTTTGATTGAACTGAAGTGACTGTGACCTGACACTGCCCCTTTGCCCTCGAGCAAGGCACTCTTATCAGACACCAGGTGGAGCTTAAAACACGTGCAGCCTCACCTCCTCTGAGCTCCTTATGGTCATGGTATTAGCACGGACACGTTTCGAGTGTTATTTACTCTAAGAATCATTCAGGGTTTATGCTCCGCCCTCTGTGGCCATCCAGGATTCATAGAACTGGGGTTAAGATACGTAACTTTCATGTCCAGTGTGTAAAGACTGAGAGACTGTGGTTATGTGGCTCTGGGCTCAGCTCTGGACCAGCAGAAGAGACTGGTGTCTCTCTTGCTGGTCTCTCTCCTGTCTCTCTCTCTCTCCCTCTCTCTCTCTCTTTCTGGTCTCTAGTTTCTTTCTCTGTCTCTGTCTCTGTCTCTCTCTCTCTAGTTTCTCTCTCTGGTCTCTCTAGTTTCTCTCTCTCTCTCTCCGGTCTCTCTCTGTCTCTGTCTCTCTCTCTCTAGTTTCTCTCTCTCCGGTCTCTCTCTCTCTCTCTCTCTCTCTCTCTAGTTTCTCTCTCTCTCTCAGCAGAGACCAGAGCAGACTTGGAGGAGCAGAGAGAGTGGGGCTCTCTTGTTACCTGCTGCTGGTGGTTTGTGCTGAATATTTGAGTCTCTGCGGTCGGGTACAGGACTGACTCTGAGTCTAAGTGTTTCATTGTCCACGATCTCTGGTCTCTGGTCTCTCTCTCAGGTCTCTCTCTGCGGTCTCTCTCTGGTCTCTCTCTCTGGTCTCCCTCTCTGGTCTCCCTCTCTGGTCTCCCTCTCTGGTCTCCCTCTCTGGTCTCCCTCTCTGGTCTCCCTCTCTGGTCTCCCTCTCTGGTCTCTCTGGTCTCCCTCTCTGGTCTCTCTCTGGTCTCTCTGGTCTCCCTCTCTGGTCTCTTTCTTGTCTCTCTCTGGTCTCTCTCTCTGGTTTCTTTCCTGCTCTCTGTACTCTCTCTCTCTGTGGTCTCTCATATGCTGCTTTGAACAAAATTAAAATGAACAGAGTGTGTCTCAAGGTGACCACAGCTTATGTGCAGCTCAGTGGCACCCCCTACTGTCAAACTTCAGTATTACACCAGAACTTGACAATTATATATATCAAATACGATTACTCTTTTTCTATCCCCTGTAGGAGATCCCCATCAATAGAAAGGATCATAATGTTTTTGATCCTTTTGGTATAAATGTGCCAAAGTTAACGTTTACTGCCGCAGTGTGACGGACCCAGTGTGTGTGTGTGTGTGTAGGATGTACCCCATAAAGGAGGTGCCAGTGGAGGCCGAGGCGCTCACAGACTGGCTCTACCAGAGGTTCGTGGAGAAGGAGCAACTGCTGGAGCACTTCTACAGCACGGGTAACGTCTGCTCCCTCACCCTCTCTCCCCTCTCTTGGGCTCCATCCGCAGGCCTCCCTCAGACCTCTCCTCTCTCTCTCTCTCTCTCTCTCTCCCTCTCTCCCCCCTCTCTAACCTCTCTCCCCCTCTCTCTCCTCAGGTCTCTTCCCTCCGTCCGCAGGCCTCCCTCAGACCTCTCCTCTCTCTCTCTCTCTCTCCCTCTCTCCCTCTCTCCCCCTCTCTAACCTCTCTCCCCCTCTCTCTCCTCAGGTCTCTTCCCTCCGTCCGCCGGCCTCCCCCAGGCCTCTCCTCGCCACATGAGTCTAGATCCTGTGTGGTTGTGTGCAGTGCAGTCTCTGGCCTTCGCTTCAGGATACATGTGGTTCAGTGCCCTGCAATACCTGTACTGCTGCGTCTTCTGAGAGCCCTGTGAGAGGCGGCTGCGGCTGCGCCAGGCGGCTGTAGCTGCTGCTGTAGCTGTATCTGCAGCTGTGGACTCCGCCCTTCTGGAGCTCCTGTGTGTCGAGGACGCGCTCCTCCATTGCACTAAGATACGATACTGCCCACACCACATCACTCTCTCCTTCCTCAGTCGCCATTTTCTTTCCGAATACGGTTTTGAAACGCAGAGAGCTCCATGTTTCAGAACGTTTCTGTGGGAATTCTGGACCCGTTAAAGACAAACATCACAGACAACAATCCAAATGTGTCTTTATAGAACTGCCACATGTTTGGCTTCAATAGTTCATGTCACTTTAATAACCTGAGCTGCGAGTGGCTGAGTGGTTAGCACTCTCCTGGGTTCGAATCCCAGTCAAAACATGGCCTTCCTGGGAGGATTTTGCATGTTCTCCCTGCTCTGGTTTCCTCTACCACTAAAATCACGTAGAATAAATAAACCCTGACAGATGTGTGAATGCAGGGACACATTTCCCAAAGAGACAGTAGAGTTTAACTCATATCTCTGAGAGAAATTAAATACAAGTGAGAAGGAAAACCATAGTTGGCCGAGCGCTGCAATATTGAATTCTAACTCTTACATTCTGTAAATGCTGCTTAGACATTGTTAATGTGATAGATTCAGGTCTGCTGTGATTCTCTATGGAATAAGATACAAACATTTAGAACTCTGTGATAAATGTTGCTCTAAAACAGTTTGATTCTATCACTAGTTTCACTTTTATGGAGGTTAATGTAACCGCCCCCATTCAGGAACTATAGACCCCTACTCCCTGCTCTACTCTACTCTGCTCTACTCTACTCTACTCTACTCTACTCTACTCTACTCTACTCTACTCTACTCTACTCTACTCTACTCTACTCTACTCTACTCTACTCTACTCTACTCTACTCTACTCTACTTTACTCTACTCTGTTTGAGAGTCCAAGACAGCAGAAGTCTTGTCAAAGTGAAACCAGAGAGAGACGTGCTTCTCATTCATGTCATTAGAAAAAAAGAGCCCTGTGAGTCACTACCTGACTCTTTGGGCTGAGGGTGCTCTTCTCTTTGTCACTTTTCTGTCTGAAAAACGGATCTAAAGATGTGACAGAGACAGAAATACATGAAACTCGTGTCAGAAGCAACTGTTTCAGACCCAGAACCAGAGACATGGCTTTAACACCGAGTTCTATTGTTGTTTGAAAGTTACGTCCCTGAGCTTTAACCGCCGCCACCTCCTCCCACAGAAACGTTCCAAACTGTCCCGAACTCTCGCGGCGTTGACGACCCTATCTCCGAATCTTGTTTACATTGGCACTGACCACTCGGATACTTTTGGATTCTTCTCCTTCTCTCTCTTTTTATTTTTTGTCTTTTTGTTGCCACCACAGTCATTGTCGCTTCACTGTCGCCATGTTTTGGATCCAAGCAGAAGATGGCAGAGACTCTACCTTTAGATTTCCAAATATTTAAGCCATATGCTTAGTGCGAGGACTGGACACGGCAGGATAGAGCTTTTTTATATATATATAATAGGAGCAGGTTGGACTTGGGCTCGTATTACTGTACAGCTACAGCGTTACCTGCCGATCCCAGTGAGTGGCATTTTAGACCCATTTTACTGTCCCATGTCTTCATAATGTTTATTGTTGTACAGAAATTGTAAGAGGAAGAGCTTTTTTTTGTGTTATTTTCATTGTTTGAACGAACTCGGCCCTCGTCATTTCTACAGTTTGAATGTTTTAACGAGGAGGATGTAGACGTAGGAATCCCCGTCTCGCACCAGTGTTCTGTTGTTTTGATAGCGATCGGCGGAGACTCGTGTGCTAGCTTTGTCGTTTTTTGTCACTGTCAAAAGCCCAGGTGTAAATGTGACCGTGTTTATGTGAAGGCGACGGGTTCAAAGTGCCAAGAGAGCGCGATGCAGGCGACAGGGTTTCTCTCTCTGGGAGGAGAGAGCGGGACGAGCCTCTCCACAAAGGAACGAATGAAACAAAAAAGTAGTACAAATGCGATTCCGTTTCTTTGTTTTTGTTCGAGAGGCTACAGTTGTGCTTCAGAGATACACACACACACACTCTCACACACACACACACGTCAATGTATACACACACACCAATGTATACACACACAGATGATGAAGGATCGCACAAACACATGTTATTGTTGAGAAGTGAGTGAGAGAATCAGAAACTGTATACAGATGGATGATGCTAACTGGCTAGCTACCTATTTTGGGCTTAAATCTGTGGTTTAGTGCTCTCTGTGATAAGGAGAGAGACCACAAAGAGAGAGACCTCATCCACAACCACAACAACAGACTCTTAGCACTAATGAGAACAGAGAGCGAAGTGTTTGTGTTTTCATTCATAATCGTGTGTGTGTGTGTGTGTGTGTGTGTGTAAGCACAACTGTCGCCTCTTGTTGCGATGACAGAGTCTTTGCCAAAAACCTTTTATAATTCATCCAGAGTCTTAATGTTTTTGCTTTCTCCGAGATTGTGGTCATTTCCCCAAAAAATACATGGATCACGGACAGAAAACAAACACAAACTCTCAGAAACTCGTCCAGCTGCGATTTCTGACCAACCAGGAGTCTGAAGGTTCTACAGGAACAGTTCATTTGCAAAAACAGATACCTCTGTTTTGGAAAGTTGTTTTCCTCTATCTTCTCTGCTCTCTTTCTGGTCGGTCTCTGGTCTTTCTCTCTAGTGTCTCTATAGTCTGTCTGGTCTCTCTCTAGTCACGCTCTGGTTTCTCTGTGGTCTCTCTCTAGTCTCTTTCTCTGGTCTCTTTGTGATCTCTATGTGGTGTATCTCTCTAACCTATGTCTTTAGCCTCTCTCTCTTTCTCTCCAGTATCTCTCTGGTCTCTGTGGTCTCTCTTTGGTCTCTTTCTCTCTCTTTCTCTCCAGTATCTCTCTTTCTCTCCAGTATCTCTCTGGTCTCTCTTTGGTCTCTTTTTCTGGTCTCGATCTGATCTTTCTGTGTCCTTGGCCTCTCTCTGGTCTCTCTCTCCCTCTCTCTCTGGCCTCGAGCTACAATCTTCAACATGTTTTGATATTGATCATACATGTGCCAGTATTAGCTCATGCCACTTTATTTGTGAGGCACTATTACAGACCTGGCTTCTCTCTCTCTGTCTCTCTCTCTCTGAATCTGTCTGATTTTTCTGTGATGACTCTTTTGTCTGTTTTTGCAAATGAACGACACACATCCACCAGCAACTACCGACATAGGAATCCAGAACATTCACACACAGGCATCACTCTCTCAAGTCTCTTCAGGAGTTAGAAGAAAATTACTTGGATGAAAAAGCTCCATAGAAACGATTCAAAAATGTCGTTTCACCAGGAATGTCTCGTCATAGGCCTCGAACTGCACTGAAATGAATGAAAGAGTCGTGTTTCTTTGGCTCGCACTGGCTCGCACTGGCTGCTACTGCGCGGCTTCGGCTCCGGCTGCAGAAATAGGACCTTACTCGTTACGTTTTTTTGGCCCAAAACTCGATCACGGACTGAAAGCTCCTGCGCTGATACACGAGTCTGAACTTTACACAAACGGTTCATCTGCAAAAACAGATATCGCCATTTTGGAAAATTATCAAGTTGTTATTCCTCTAGCTACTGTGCACTCTCTCTGGTCTCTCTCTTTCTGGTCTCTCTCTGGTCTCTCTCTTTCTGGTCTCTCTCTCTCTGGTCTCACTCTCGCTGGTCTCACTCTCTCTGGTCACGCTCTCTGGTCTCTCTCTGGTCTCACTCTCTCTAGTCTCTCTCTCTCTCTGGTCTCGCTCTCTCTGGTCTCGCTCTCTCTGGTCTCGCTCTCTCTGGTCTCGCTCTCTCTGGTCTCTCTCTCTCTGGTCTCACTCTCTCTGGTCTCACTCTCTCTCTGGTCTCTCTCTCTCTGGTCTCACTCTCTCTGGTCTCACTCTCTCTGGTCTCACTCTCTCTGGTCTCACTCTCTCTGGTCTCACTCTCTCTGGTCTCACTCTCTCTGGTCTCATTCTCTCTCTGGTCTCTCTCTCTCTGGTCTCACTCTCTCTGGTCTCACTCTCTCTGGTCACGCTCTCTGGTCTCTCTCTGGTCTCACTCTCTCTGGTCTCTCTCTCTCTCTGGTCTCTCTCTCTCTCTGGTCTCACTCTCTCTGGTCTCACTCTCTCTGGTCTCTCTCTGGTCTCTCTCTGGTCTCTCTCTGGTCTCTCTCTCTCTGGTCTCACTCTCTCTGGTCTCTCTCTCTCTGGTCTCACTCTCTCTGGTCTCTCTCTCTCTGGGACGGGTTTACGATCTTGTAGAAGTACGAAATCAGAGAGAAACGTTTGGATTCAACCCGAGCGAAGACGCCCCCGCTGCTGCTTTGTGAGAAGGGCTTTTGACAGTGTTTGTGTCCGAGAAATGATCAAGGGAAAAAACATAAACAATCCGGTTTAAGGTGAGACACGTCAAAAGCAGGAGACCAGTCCCTGTGCTCCTCAGAGTTGGTTCATATGGCACTAACATATGATGTACTTTGGTGCGAGGCCACTGAGACTCTTGTAACAAACAGAGCTGCTTTAAAGTCTATTCTCTGAGCCACAGGAAGCAGAGACCTGAGACCAGGACTAATGTGATGGTACTTCCTGGTTGTAGTCAAAGCTGTCGTGTCTCACCTTAAATGTCATTGAACTCAACTGACGTTACTTTGGGAACAGGGGGATAGGAGGGAGGGGGGGCTGCATACAGTATGTCGCGTGAACAGGAAATGCACATGTGTGTAGCCATGACGACAGCCGTGCACCAGCCTCTTGCTTTAGAAGTGACAGACGAGGCCGTGTTTGTAGTGTGTGTCCAGGATCCCAGACTCTCCAGCTGCCTGTACCTTTGCATTTTGTACTCCTCTCATTCTAGCGCCATTTTACAAACAACACCCACAAATCTGTGCTGGAATAAAAACTTCTGAAAGATCCATGCTTCTCTCTGTGTTCTGCTGGAACTGTAGTTTCAGCCTCTGACTCTGATTATAAGTGGGAATGGTCTCAGAGGATAGCTGCTGTCTGGGGATTGTAAGCAGTAGTAAGTAGTCAGATAAATAATAGTAGTTGAAGTATTAGTTTGTCAAAATACCTACATAATAAATAATAATTAATGTACAAAAGAGTAAACACCATCCATAAAGAAAGTAGACCGTGGTACAACAATTAGCGCTTAAAACTAAAATAGTTAAACCCCTGGAACACCCCTGTTTCAGAGCACGGCATACAGGGTGACAGAGGTTGGGAACCATTCAGAATATGCAATTAAGAACCACATGTGTCCACTGTCTCTTTGTCCCAGATCCTCATGCTGCTAAAATGCTCACATGTAAACATACAACTATTTATTTCTGCACTAGAATAAACAGTACTTATTTAGGGATTTTATTCTGTTCTAGTATAGAGTTATTGTTCACTTTTATCTTGTGCTGTGTGCTCCTCATTCCTACTGTTCTGTAAGTGGTGATGCAACTCTGACATTTCCCCCTGTGAGACTGTGGGATAGACACAGACCGGGCTGTTTGCGCCCTCTGCTGGACACACTGCGTACTGCACTCCCGCCCTGCAGCGTGCGCTCAAGCACCGCGCAACCATAGCAACGCGGGACTCACTAAAATAATACATCTACAGTATATGGAATCACTGCAATCTTGGTATTTCGTTCAGGGCCAAATACATGATAGAATGTTTTTCTTTATCACAGTAAAGTATCTCTGGTTTTGGTTCGCGCTGGGATTGGACCATGGTTCATGTAGCAACGTTACAACACCACTTCACAACTACTTTTTAAAAGATTGTAAAATAGTAAAATGTATAAATAAGTATATACCCATACATAACATATGAACAAAGATGATACTAATAGATCCATGAGATGATAGTGCACAATATTTTAGAGCGTCTCAGTAACGCCTCCAAATGTAGCCTTGCAGCAGCCAATCAGCAGCCATTCAGCAGCCTAGGTCATTCACGTTCGTCCAATCAGGAGCGACGTTTTCGGCACCAATTTAAACTGAAGCGGATCACTTCCTGCTTCTTACTCCATCAACAACAACAACACAGCTGCAGTATCAGAGAAGTACAGTTATTTCTCTTATTGTAACAATATTCCTGCTTCTCTCGCTGTCGCAGAGGTAGTCTGCATGTTCTGTTGTTCCACGGTTAGCTGTTAGCTGCGGGGCTAAGCTAACTGAAGCTAACTGAAGCTACAGCCCAGATGCCCTCGCGTGTGTGGGACTATGAGGTGCTCTTCACCATCGGCTCAGGCTCCTATGGCCGCTGCCAGAAGATCCGGAGGAAATCCGACGGCAAAGTGAGTTATTTTTTAATGAACTATAACGAACATGGCATTGACCTGATCGTAACAATAACAGTTGTTCTAGTCTTGTGATAATTGTTGACACTTTAACGCTAGTACTATTTTGCAAAGTCTTCTGAAATAAATACGTCTCAAAATGCCGTTTAAAGCATTTTTCTTTACACTGGTTTTACAGAGTGTAACTTTAGGAGTTTATCCTGACGACCGTATCCATGGTAACGGCGTCAGTTTACAGTCGTTCACATTCTCATTTCTGTACAGTATTGTGATTACTATGGACTATGTGCTTGTTTTCTGATGGATGTTTAGAGTGAATGAATAATGACATGTGAAGTGTCTTTTGCTCTACCTGGTTGTCTCTCTGTTACGCTTTAGCATCTGGTACCATATCCTCACAACCAGCTCGGCCTGGATAGAACCAGGGCCAAGAGGGACTAAAGAAGGACCTGGTACTGGTTAAACAGGGAAGATGGAAACGCTCCTAACCAGGGGAGAGTGGGGTTGAGTGTATATGTACAGTATATGTTTATGACCCAGTCCTGCTGGTGTCCTCAGGTGCTGGTGTGGAAGGAGCTGGACTATGGCACTATGGGAGACAGTGAGAAGCAGATGCTGGTGTCCGAGGTGAACCTCCTGCGGGAGCTCAGACATCCAAACATCGTGCGTTACTATGACCGCATCATCGAGCGCTCCAGCAGCACGCTCTACATCGTCATGGAGCACTGTGAGGGAGGAGACCTGGCCACCCTCATCAGCCAGAGCATCAAGGACAGGTCCGTAATGTTTTTGATTCTGGTAAAAAGCTGCAGATGACTGATTTGATGTGGCTGTTACCATCTAAGTCTGAGTTCAGTATTACTCCTAGATTTGTCATGATCCACAACCCGGCTCCTATTTAAATGAATGAGTGTCAATATCCAATTGACACTGCAATTTAATTTACAAGGTGAACAACCACATAATTCTATTCACTCTAAATAATAAACTCTAAACCAATCCATCTCCATACACTGGCTTAAACAATACCTGTATATGGTCTTCTACAACAGATTGGATGTGACATGTCATCTGTGTCTCTCTGTCTCAGGCGGTACCTGGAGGAGTCGTTTGTGGTCCGGGTCCTGGTCCAGCTCACCCTGGCCCTGCAGGAGTGCCACAGACGCAGTGACAGTCGGGCCACAGTTCTGCACAGAGACCTGAAACCTGCAAACATCTTTCTGGACAGAAAACAAAACGTGAAACTCGGAGACTTTGGCCTCGCACGCATCCTCAACCACGACACCAGCTTCGCCAAGACCTTTGTGGGGACGCCATACTACATGTCCCCTGTGAGTGAGAGGGAGGGAGAGAGGGACAGCTCTGAGAGAGAGATGGAGAGAGGGACAGGTCTGAGAGAGAGAGAGAGAAAGAGAGGGAGAGCTCGGGGAGAGAGGGAAAGAGAAGGAGAGCTCTGAGAGAGAGAGGGACGGCTCTGGGAGGGAGGGAGAGCGAGCGAGAGAGAGAGGGGGAGAGCTCTGAGAGTGAGATGGAGATGGGAGGGGCCAGGGAGAGGGACCAGGGAGAGGAACCAGGGAGAGGAACCAGGGAGAGGGGCCAGGGAGAGGGGCCAGGGAGAGGGGCCAGGGAGAGGGGCCAGGGAGAGGGGCCAGGGAGAGGGGCCAGGGAGAGGGGCCAGGGAGAGGGGCCAGGGAGAGGGGCCAGGGAGAGGGGCCAGGGAGAGGGGCCAGGGAGAGGGGCCAGGGAGAGGGGCCAGGGAGAGGGGCCAGGGAGAGGGGCCAGGGAGAGGGGCCAGGGAGAGGGACCAGGGAGAGGGACCAGGGAGAGGGACCAGGGAGGTCTCTGTGTTGACTCAGACTAAAGTCTTGGTTCCTTGTGTCTCCAGGAGCAGATGAACCGTATGTCGTACAATGAGAAGTCGGACATCTGGTCCCTGGGCTGCCTGCTGTACGAGCTGTGTGCGCTCTCGTAAGTGTCTGAGGGTCCGGGTTCAGCGGAAGACCAGCTTCCATGTGTGTGCAAAAAGGCCTGTCCATGCAGTGGGGACCAGGCCTTCGTTGGTCCTTTTTGTATTATGCAGAATTAGCTTTTTTATGGGATCTAAAATGCATTTTGTTCCCCTCGTAGAGCGAGAAAACCTTCAACCATCTGAAATACTTTCACTTCTAGTAGCTTGAGCAGTTTCTGGGTCGAGATGTGAACTTAGACTCCACCAGCCCTTTTTGACTTTAGTCTACTCTAATTGGTAGAGTATCCTCTGGTCCTGTGTAACCAGTACCAGGTCCAGAGTTCCATCCAGGCCGAGCTGGTGCTGAAGTATTTTAACTGACAGTGAGTGTAGTAGAGTATACTGGTGGAAATGCGGCTTATTTTGAAAGTGAGACGTTTGTTTGACTCTTGTTTTGACTCGTATGAAGCCGAGTGTCTTCTCCTCCGCAGACCTCCGTTCACCGCCTTCAACCAGAACGATCTGGCAGAGAAGATCCGCGAGGGACGCTTCAGGAGGATCCCCTACAGATACTCAGAGGAACTCAACTCTCTCATCTGCAACATGCTCCAGCTCAAGGTGAGAGACCAGAGGGGGAGAGAGACCAGAGGGGGAGAGAGACCAGAGGGGGAGAGAGACCAGAGGGGGAGAGAGACCAGAGGGGGAGAGAGACCAGAGGGGGAGAGAGACCAACCGTAAAAATTATTTTGTTTTTCAGGACTATCTGCGTCCCTCTGTGGAGTCCATCCTTCAGAGCAGCCTGCTGTCGAAAGCATTGTCTGAGGAGCAGAGGAAGGACCAGGAGAAGACCAGGGAGAGGAACCAGGAGAAGACCAGGGAGAGGGACCAGGAGAAGACCAGGGAGAGGGACCAGGAGAAGACCAGGGAGAGGGACCAGGAGAAGACCAGGGAGAGGGACCAGGAGAAGACCAGGGAGAGGGACCAGGAGAAGACCAGGGAGAGGGACCAGGAGAAGACCAGGGAGAGGGACCAGGAGAAGACCAGGGAGAGGGACCAGGAGAAGACCAGGGAGAGGGACCAGGAGAAGACCAGGGAGAGGGACCAGGAGAAGGCCAGGGAGAGGGACCAGGAGAAGACTAGGGAGCGGAACCAGGAGAAGACCAGGGAGAGGAACCAGGAGAAGACCAGGGAGCGGGACCAGGAAAAGACCAGGGAGAGGGACCATGAGGAGACCAGGGAGAGGGACCAGGAGAAGGCCAGGGAGAGGGACCAGGAGGAGACTAGGGAGAGGGACCAGGAGAAGGCCAGGGAGAGGGTCCAGGAGAAGACCAGAGAGAGGGACCAGGAGAAGACCAGGGAGAGGGACCAGGCGAAGACTAGGGAGAGGGGCCAGGAGGAGACTAGGGAGAGGGACCAGGAGAAGACCAGAGAGAGGGACCAGGAGAAGGCCAGGGAGAGGGACCAGGAGAAGGCCAGGAAGAGGGGCCAGGAGAAGGCCAGGGAAAGGGACCAGGAGAAGACCCCCACAGCCAGCAAGTTTGAGCTCCGGCTGAGGGAGCAGGCTGTGAAGGAGCAGGAGAGGGCCCTGAAGGAGAGAGAGGAGCGTCTGGAGAGTGAGTAACCACACCAGGCTTCATGAGGTTTAAAGCTAACTCAAACGGGCAGGAATCTGGAGCCAAATGGGTAGCAACAGCCTAGCAACCAAAGGGCCAATCAGGTCTGTTCACACTCACTCGCCGAAAGCTGAAATTGGGGACAGACGGCTCCTGATTGGCTGCTTGTTCGAGCTCAGAGCTGGGTTTATGAAATGGCTTTTTAAATATGAATCCAGGATCATGCAGAGGTTTAAACTGCAGACTTTTATTAAGACGGTTACTGAGCTGAGTTACATACGTCCCCCACTTACTGGCCATCTTCATACACGCCATGAGTACTTGAAGATGTTGTGTTGGAGGAGAGACAGAGAAACAGAGACAGACAGAGAAGGAGAATACACTTACTTCATGTGTGCCTCAGACTGGTAATGCGTGGTCTCGTATAAAGTTCTGAATGTGTGTGTGTCTGTGCGCTGCAGGGCGAGAGCAGGAGCTGTGTGTGCGCGAGCGGTTTTGCGACCACAAACTGGAACGGTAAAACCACAACAGGACCATGACAACATCACTGTTTTCAAATTTAACTGTTTTCTCAATTCTCACTATTTTAGTTCATTCATCACATGCTATTGTGTGTTCTGTCTCTTTCTCTCTGGTCTCTCGCTGTCTCTCTCTCTGGTGTCTGTCTCTCTGTTTCTCTCTCTGTCTCTGTCTCTCTTGTGTCTCTGTCTCTCTCTCTCTCTCTCTCTCTCTCTGGTGTCTCTCTCTGGTCTCTCTTTCTCTGGTGTCTCTCTCTGGTCTCTCTTTCTCTGGTGTGTCTGTCTCCTTGGTCTCTCTCTGTCTCTTGCTCTCTTTCTCTGAATCTGTGTGTGCCTGTGTGTCTCTGTCTCTCTCTCTCTCTCTCTCTGGTGTCTCTCTCTGGTCTCTTTCTCTGGTGTCTCTCTCTGGTTTCTGTCTCCTTGGTCTGTCTCTCTTTCTCTGCCTCTGTGTGTGCCTGTGTGTCTCCGTCTCACATACATTATGTGTGTAGATAATATATGTATAACTGCATGATGCTTGTGTTGCTGTCAGAGCGGAGTCTTTGCTGAGGACCTACAGCTGCCTGCACCAGCTGCGAGAGCTCTCTCCTCTGTGTCCTCAGAACACAGGTAGGAGCATCAGCTGAGGACCACATCACCAGCATTTTAATCATTTTAACTTTATCTTTAATGTAATAAACACTTACTAATGTGTGTATGTAGTGTCTGGTTCATGCTTGTTCTGTGACTGGGATGCACGATACGATACTGGCATCAAACATGTCTTAAGTCCTTTGTTTTCATGTAATAAAAGTCTCCTGGCCCAGAGTCTCACATACAGCTGGTTTAAGATGGTTTAAACTGGTTTAAGCTGGTTTTAGCTGGTTTTAGCAGGTTCAAGCTGGTGTTGAACCCAAAGTATTGTATCGCTGCATCTCTAATCAGGACGAATCTGAAAAGTGGACTTCTGTCTCGTAGATCTGACGGACACTTCGCCGAGTAAGAAGAAAGTGCATTTCGCTGCAGAGAGTAAGGAGAACATGAGGCCACACGAGCTGCTGAGGCGGAGGCCCCAGACCAGGACCCAGACCCAGACCCACACCCTGAGTGACATGGACCAAGTCTTCCAGGGCAAGATCAGGCCCCTCCTTGGCCTGCGATGATGCACACACTCACACACAAAGACTTTTACCCCGGCTGGTCTGGCTCACTTTAATTGGACCAATAGACGTTCACTTAGCAACCGTCTTAGCAACACATGTGTCCCTGTTACCACACAAAGCCACAAACCTGAAATGCAAGTGTGGTATTGAGCTTCTGTATATTTAGGGATGTTTGTTGTCTGTTTGAGTTGATGTCTTTGGCAGCTGTTGTTCTTGTTAAACTTGTTAAATTATAATAACTGGATGTTCTAAGTTAAGTCTGATGTGATCCTGAACTCTTGTTCACTCTTTTCATCAAAATAGACTCATAAATAAACTACATAAAGTCAGTTTTGAAGAGCACAAATGCACATTTGCAGTAATGGAATGTACGAGGCGCGTTTGCAGAAGAGTGAGTTGATAAACTCTGCAGAGGTGGAAAGTACCGCTCTGTATCACTTCAGTGAAAGTGTAGATACAGAAATGGACTCTGGATGTGTGTGTTTAAAGGCGCAATTTGTAAAAGTCTGGCCAAAAGTGGTACTGCAATCTCTCCCAGACTCAAGTTGCCAGATATGCAGACGAATCCAGCTGGGACCATAATGACTGACTACAGTTTTGTCAACAAATCCATAACCAACTACTCTTTGGTTTGAGAGCTGATTGTCTGAGTGAGGATGGTCCTATCTTTTTCACTTTTCTGTCTGACAAAGCTGATTTAAAGAAGTGACAGAGACAGAAATATGTGAAACTAATGACAGAAGCAACTCTTTAGAGCCAGGAACTAGAGACATGCTCACTATCATTTTAAGGTGCTCTGGAAGTTAGGTGTCCCATTTGTGGATTCATATATTTCAAGGTTGTGCTGTACTTCCAAATGCTCTTAGTAGTTACTGAAGGCAAGACCAGGCAAGATTATTTGTATGGCACAGTTCATAAACAGGGCAACGCTGAGTGCTTTTTAAACTCTTAATAAACTCCCAAGTTTAATTAAATCAGGTTTAAGTTGTTTCAGTGCTCTGGTGTTCTTCCACCAGGGGGCGTCTGTCCCTCAGCCATAAGGCAGAGTGTGACTGGGTCTGAAGAAGCAGCTGAGAGTGGATTAAGTTTCCACAGAAAAGTAATGACTGGAAAACCTTTACAAACAGAGAAACCCCCCGTCCGCTGCTGACCCCCCTGGTTTCAGGACTCATGATTAACAATAGCCACATTCTCAGCTCAACCCCTGAGCTACACAAATAAAGACTTTCTCAGTTGGTTTTACCAACATTATTTCTATTTACTTAAAGCCACTTTTTCATTTCAGACTGCGTAGAGACAACGCACTTTACAATATTACAATATTTGTCTCTGGCGTTTCCACATTTATAGAAGCAGGTCGAAACCGGAGCACGCGGAGGAGACCTACGTAGATGAGAGGAAAACTCCACACAGAAGGTCTGGAGGTGGTATTGAACCCTGGACCGTTTTGCTGTGAAGTTCTAACCACTGCACCACTGTGTGTAAACCTCTGGTGTTTGCATGCTCTCCCTGTGTCTGCTTAGGTTTCCTCCGTGTGCTCCGGTTTCCCCATACCACTAAAGTTAATATAATGCATTTATGCTAACAATTGAAACACGAGTTACTTAGTATTGGTGATGTACCATAGTATGATTGCATCACGCAGCAGAGACCATAGTGTTCAGAGGTGATTCATAATTATTTCGTCCCACTTTGTTTGGATTTACAGTCACATAAAGAAATGAAATGAGGATTCAAATGCATGTATTATCTTTAGCATCAATGGTTCAGAGGCCATAACATAGTTTATTGTTCGCCTTTCTGCTGTCTCTGCGGTTGTAACTTCTGTGCTCTTTTCATCGCTGAGTAAATCAAAGTTCAAACAACGCGAGAACATCGCCTTCGCTCCGCGTGCTTAGCAACCGTTGGCCCGCTGACGTGAGTTCCAAAGTACGGTCAACCACGTGATGTCCTTGCGTTCTCCCAGCCAATCACGTAAGGGCTTCACCTCTCTCCACCAATCAGAGCGCTCGTTTGCACTCGAGAGGGGGGGAGTGCGGGCGCGTGCATCAGCGGCGGTTCGGGTGCAAAACGCCGCGGCTCGTGAGCAAAAACACAGTGTTAACGGGTGGAAAGAGGAGAACACTGGGAGACATACGGGAGGAATAAACCGGAGAAACTACCGACAAAACACCGGAGAGACCACCTGAGAGAGCCTGAGCACACCGTGAGCAGACCGGGGCTCCCTCAGCACTCACACGGACCTGGGCACCGGTGATGTTCGTTAGCTTCAGCGTTAGCACTTAGCATCCATCGAGCGAACACGAATTTCTCCTTTTTCTTCTGAGGCGGAAATATACTCCCAGAAATAACGGCATAGAGACTTTTCTGACCAAACCCCACGACTTTAATCGCGAGTTACCGTCCCAGGCAGATTGTGACGTTCTGGGTTCATCATGCTACAGAAGGTTCTCGATCCATTGGAAACTTGTAGACCAGGCTTTTTATCACAATAACACTGACATTGTGTTCATTGCGAAGGACTTGATCGTTTATGTACTCCAGCCATTCAAATACGGATATACTACTGTAGTATACCACTTTTCTCTTGTTACGATCCTGAAATGTCTGTCGTGTAGAAATGTGTTATTCCACATTTGATAAGTCATCCCTAAACTTTACGGTTATCCCCTTTTAATAGAGCTATCTAATCTACACCGATTAACTCTGTTCATGTTCATGTTTATTTGATTTACAATTGGGGAAAAGTATGATTTATAACTTTAAAATAGCATACCCCTAAACTAATATCTTATGTTGATAAACTTAGTAAAGATCAGCCTGAGCTATCGGTTGTATGAATTAACCGATTAATCAACTTTTTGTTCATAGAGTAACAACTTCCAGTGCTGTATTATTAATCTTTCTTAAATCATCCCTTCTTGCGGCGACACCAGTTCCCCGTTCAGTAGTGTTCGTTGTAGCAGCTGGGTGACTATGGCGTGCGAACCGAACCGTGCGCGGCTCTTGTGCATGTTGTGTATGACGGCCGGGTTCTTCGTGGTGGAGGTGGTGGTGAGTCGGATGACCTCGTCCCTGTCCATGCTGTCGGACTCCTTCCACATGCTGTCGGACGTCATCGCGCTGCTCGTGGCGCTCGTGGCCGTACGGTTTGCAGAGAAGACGCAGTCCACCAGCAAGAACACGTTCGGCTGGATCCGGGCCGAGGTACGAGGCGTTTCAATTCTACCCGATGTATTGAATTATCGGCCTTTCTCACAACAGTAGTTATGTCAGAGGACTTTATTAAGTTGCCGATTCGCCAACACAGATCAGAGAATCAATCAGTTCAAACAGAAGAAATGCAATGATAGAAAACACAGAGCGATTGGTGTCCTGGATCATCACCAGTCAGTGTTCTGGGCTAACCGTGAGCTACTGACATGTACACACGCTATTCTTCATACGTGTCACGTGCTGTAAATGTGTAACTAAACTGATATTATACATGCATACATCCTACACATGTAAAACAAATGTAACCGGGATATTAACTTGCAAGCTCAATGAAGCCCCATAGGGAGGTGCTCATAATGAAGTTTGGCTCTTATTGACTTACGTGTAAAAGTAAACTCCTAGTGTCACAAATTTTAGGCTTTAAAAGTTCATGGTTTATCGCTTTCCTGGTGTTTATATGTGATGTTGTCTTTGAAAAATCCAGATGAGCCATATTGAGACTGAGCAGATGTCTTCACTCATGGGGAAACTCTAGATTGCCTTAGCAACCGTCTTAGCAACACGCCTGCCCCTGTTAGGGCATGAAGCTAAAGCTATCAGAGAAAATGCCCATATAAGGAAATTGGCTCCAGCTTTTGTTGAAATCGGGATCTTCCACAAAAAATATCACACTATGGTGATGTCACACTCAGTCCACTCTTGTTATACGGTAGAGCTGCAACTAACGATTATTTTGTAATCGATTAATCTATGGATTATTTTTACGATTAATCGAGTAATCGCTTGGCTGTGAATTGTGTAGAAAAAATGTATTTTTTCATCACAAAAAGCTAAAGTGGCAACACTCGAGGACGTATTGATGGCGTAAACTTAAAGTAAATGTTTGTAACAGGCTCTTTGTGCTAATTCTGCTATCTGATTGGATGAGACAGACAGATATTCATGAAATTATAAAAACAAAGTCGGTTTTAATCAAAAATACTACATTTTCATGTCATTTTTGCTCTGTTTGAGTCCGCGTGAACCAGAAAACGATTAATCGATTACTAAAATAGTTGTCGACTATTTCAATAATTGATTAGTCGTCGATTAATCGATTAGTTGTTTCAGCCCCATTATACGGCATGCAGCTTTTAACCATGTAACTGTGTTCCTCCCCTTGATTTCTCAGGTTAAACCTTCTCTTCAGTCACACTGTGTTTGGGCTTTGACTTTTTCAAAGTTTGTTTGTTTATTAATTTAAGTATTCAAATATATTTGAATATTTATCATAATTTAATATACAGCTCCTCACAGCAGCAGTAGAACGCTCCATTGATTTGAATGTAATTTCAAAACGTTCTACCGATCATTATTTCTTAACGGAACTCTCAAACCAATAATGACCGCGGCCCTTTGACAACGCACTATGTGCTTGTAATTCAGGTGTGAGAAGATTACACTGCAAGTACTTCGTCACACTTTGTCACCAGGTTAAATCCTCCAGTTCTGGTAGTCCTGACCATGCAGAGCATCAACTCCTGGAGATGGGTTCCCGGGCGCTGTTACTACGGCAACCACTGCTCCTGACATAAGCCTTAGTGGGTCAAATGCAGAGGATGAATTGCCCTACGGGTTTAATAAAGTGCACCTTTATCGTTACAACGGCTTTCAGCGCCTGTCACTACTTCTGTCACTAGTCGCATTCTAAAACCAACAAGTTTGATTATGAATGGTCAAATTACTGAATCTCATAACTTTTAGACACATCCTTTATTCATCCCATCAGGACAGGTCCAAACGTTTTAATTTAAGGGCAGCAGGTTGTTAAACTGTTTTTGACTGGATTCTGTCTGTTCTGAGCTCTATATTAAGGTCTAATGGAGCTGAAGTTGGCTGGATGACACTGAACTTGCGGTAGCTTATGCACAGTCACTGTTCCTCAGTGACAGGTCTCTGGTCGGAGCCCACAGGTCTTAGTGTCCTCTGTGTTGCAGGTCATGGGCGCTCTGGTGAACGCAGTCTTCCTCACTGCTTTGTGCTTCACCATCGTGCTGGAGGCTGTGGAGCGCTTCACGGAGCCACATGAGATCGAGGGGCCCCTGGTGGTGGTCGGAGTGGGGGCCGCAGGGCTCCTGGTGAACCTGCTGGGACTGTGTCTGTTCAGAGGACACGCTGGAGGTCTGTGTGAACCACTGTGTGTTTAAACAGCCATTTTCATTTAAAGTAAAGCACCAGACACAAACACAGATAAAACAAATAGTTTCACTTTGTGAAGTGATTAATGTAGCACAACAGTTTTTTTTAATAATCACATTGATACAATTGATCACTACTAAGGAACTGTTGCCCATCCACCAGGTTCTACCCTGGACTAATGAGTAGTACAAGCTCACATGTCAAACTGTAGGTACCTTTCTCATCTGGTCTCATGACTTACTGTAAGCTCAAACACTCATGTTTATGTCACAAGGTTAAAGAACAAGATAAGAGTCAGAATGATGTCTGTTTGTAAATGTAAGTTTGTGTAAACTCTCAGTTGTACCGGGATTAGTCAAAACAAAGGAAGGTTGCTCACCCATCATCTGTGCTTCAGTTAGCAGGTTTATGTGAGCAACCTTCCTTGGTTTGTAAATGAAGTGAAGAGTTGGAGAATAGTTTAAAATGGATTAGTTTGTGATTGTGGTACTTCTGACATTTCCAGGAGGACACGGACATTCCCACGGAGGAGGAGGTGGGCACTCTCACGGAGGGAAGAGTCATAAGATCAAAGCTCCAAAAGCTGGAGCGTGTGGAGAAGAGACCAACCACCTGGTGACCCACGGCAGCCCAGGAGAGGCCAAGACCGGTAAGGCCACCTCCAGGGTCCACAGACAAACCTGCTCTTACTCAAACTCTTATTCCAAGTCAATATTCTGCCTCAGATTAGGGCTGCGTTTCTCAACTCTGGTGAATCACAGTTTATACAATATAATTCATAAATAACAGGGATGGTGTCTCAAAAGGCCGGGAACGAAATCTAACTCAAGCTACAGTCTAGTCCTGCTCCAGGAGAGTCCTTATCACTTATCGTGTGTGTGTTTTTAGACCTAAAGTTGTGACAAAGTAAAATGCAGACAGCCACTCCACTCCAGAGGGAGACTCAGTCTCTGTCTTAGAAAGTGAGTTTATCTGATGACCTGATACATTCTTACTTTCATTTGTCAATTTATTGCTGCACCCACAATTTCTTTGGTTGATAACAGAGCGCTTCTACAGATTAGATTAGAGCTGAGGCCATTCTCCAAGGAAAGGATAGTGCTCTGCTGTTTCACTGTACATTTCTTATATGTGTCAGAGGTATACTGTCTCTTTTTGTCTTCACTAGTTTTACTAGTTTTCATATACACCATAACTTCAAATTAAATATAAGTAATTTGTTTAAACCATGTCTTTAGAAAGCTGTATTTCTGGACATAAAGCTGTGTTGGTTTGATGAGAGCTCTGTTCAGGACTCAGTGCGAGTGGCTGCTTCCCACATCCTCAAATCTGAAATGCTCACGTGTCATTTCCTCCTCAGTCGCTCAGTGCGATCAAAACTGTTCTCTTGGTCAGTGTTTTTCAACCACTGTGCCGCGGCACACTAGTGTGCCATATGATATTGTCTGGTGTGCCGGGAGAAATTCTCCTACTTTGTCTAAAAATAAATGCATCCACGGTTGGCGAGTGCTGAATTGTTCTGTACTGTGTTGTATCCACGTAATACTTTTTCATATTAGTAGGTGACAGCAGATAGTAACAGAGGGAGGTAAAGGAATTAAGCCATTTTCATCACATCCGTAACGTGGTTCCGAGCTCTGACCATAGACGCGTGGACAGAACCATGGAGTCGTGCTCAGGACCATCTCCTGTGTCTCTCCCGTGTCTCTCCCGTGTTTCTCCCGTGTTTCTCCGAGAAGCGCAGCCAAAACTCCCAAAATTGAAGCCCGGATACTTAAATTTCGCAGACTTAAGAGCCCTCTGAATCATTATTTGACTTTTTTTGGCTGAGAGTGGATTTTTAAATATTTTTTCCAGTTAGTGCCACTTTATTCCCAAACTCTTGTTAACTCATTGTATTGACAAATATTAAACAAAGCTTTAAGGAGCGATACCTGTTTCTGCAAGGTTTTTTTCTGTTTGAATATTTAGCACCGCCCCCAACTCGCTCACAGGCTCTCATTTCCCCTACGCTCTCCTCCCACGAAGCCATCTAGTTTTATTTGCGATCTGATACATATGCAAACATTAACATGAATGCAACTGCTTGTACGGTCTTGTATATGGTACAAAAGCATTGCACTGCTAACAAGTTATGTAACTGAAAGATTACTGCTAGCTTTGCGTCCAAATGTCGTCCGAGGCGGTCCTGTGTCAGCTATCTGTGTTCACCCATGCTTTATTTCTTCTTTGATAATTTGTTTGTTTTAGTTCCCTCTTCTCTTCCTCACTGTTGCGTCGTTTGGGCTGTTTTGCTGTGTCTGCAGTCACAGCCAGAGTATAAAGGTATAAAGGTACTTTCTGCCTCCATTCTGCTCTTGTTTACCTTTGCTGTAGACGCTAGAGGAGGCAGCCTGTTCGTAACGGCACTGCTTCTCGTTCTGTGATTTGAGGAGAGTCTGAGCTAGCGTCACGCTAAGTTTCTACTCTGCACTTTTTTTGGCCTGAATTCATACACAAGTTGAATCAATGAGTTTTCAATTAAATTATGGATTTTATTTCAGCTTGTATGTAGTAATACGCATTTTCATGAACTCATTAGAAAATGAATCGGGAGTAGCTTCTTTAATGTCAAGGCCTGTTTGTTTGTTTAAGCACTCTTGAGAATTACTTTATATTCGGGGCGACAGTAGCTCAGGAAGAGAATTGGCCTTTGGGCATGAAGATTGTGGGTTCAAGCCCACCACAAGACCTACTCCATGGCTCCCTCTGATGTCTGCTGTCGTTGTGTCCTTGGGCAAGACACTTTACCCTACTTGGCTTGAAGCCCCCACTGAAAAGATCAAGGCTCCTGTGGACTCACCACCTGCAGGAGGATCAGTGAGGGGCTGGTGCTCTGTGGACTGGTTGCAGCTCTGACTGCCACCCCCCGACCCAGAATGAATTAAGGGGAAGAAAATGGATGGATGGATATATTTTTAAATGTTCTCCTAGTGGTGTGCCGCGAGATTTTTTCAATTAAAAAGTGTGGACTATTGAACACTGCCAACTTGATCCCACGTGTCATGCGTCGTTGCAATATCCTTAACTTGTATCAGAATGTGCAATGACCACATGTCACTGTCTCAGAGCCTCATGCTGCTAATGTACAGATGTAAACATACTGCTGCTAACATGTACAGGTGCTAACATGTACAGATGCTAACAGGTGCTAACGTATAACTACACTTTGCTTGCACTAGAATGCACAGTACTTTGCACTTGCTTCTTATTTTGCCAAATGTAAAACTTTATACTCTTTATTATTATTATTAAGAGATTTTTTTCTTGATGCTAGAGATTTAGTTTGATTTTAAATGGTATAGTTATTGTTCATTAATCTTGTGCGGAGTATCATTCCTACTGTTCTATGACTTGTGATGCAACACTGAAATTTCCCCGCTGTGTGACAAATAAAAGATCTTAATCTTAATCTTCAGACCTCTTAAAACACTTGGACTGTTCCCACGCCTGTTCCTTCACTGTCAAACCAAACCATGGTCTTTCTATGTACCTGATGCAGAGGAGAATGTGTTGCATAAGAGTCTTCTCACATGACTCATGGCACATATAGAAGAGTTTGTGCTGCAGACAAAAGCTACGGTCATGTGTCTCCTGCACTCTGCAGCCTGTTACATGACACAGTTCCCCTTTAGCGGGGAAACCTTTGGCTTCATCGCTGTCCTGCTCAGTTTATTCTGGTGCACTCTCATGTCTAAATGACTGTTCACCAGTCACACACACACGCGCACAAGGAGTCCTAACTTTTGCTCTCATTTCTCTGGTTCTTCAGATGGTCGTACATTTAAACTCTCTACGAGTTTCCATGAGAGCGCCATAGACTCCCTTTCTAAAGAATAAAGTGGTGACGCAATGTGCACTATGGCTCCATGACCTTTAGGTTTGCGTGTGTATTTATTTATGCTGTTGTTACATTTCCTCTGTTCAAACTGTTACATTTTCTGATTTGTTGTTGAGGAATCCACAACTTTTGTAAAGTTTCTGAGACGACTGCTGTTGTGGGAGACACACGCGATACACAAATAATTTGAACTGGTGTGTGTGCAGAGCTGGAGTGCAGGGACGTCCCGGAGCTGCAGGCGAATGGGAGCCCTCACTATGAGCCTCCGGAGTCTGGTCTGGTGAGCGTGCGGCCGGAGGAGCTGGACAACACTGCGGACGCGTCGCAGCTGAACATGCGCGGCGTCTTCCTGCACGTTCTGGGCGACGCCTTGGGCTCCGTCATTGTGGTGGTCACCGCCATCATCTTCTACTTCGTCTGGACGCCCTGTGCTGGAGACGAGAACTGTGTTAACCCATGTGTGGGCGGGCACAGCGCAGACCACCGCCACTTCAACCACACAGTCATGGACCTGAAGGTGAGTGTTGATGATGAGGGAGATGAGGGTGACGTCATCTATGTATAGATTTGTTGCCCACCCCCAATCACAGGAGTCAATCTGCAGCTCCACTTGACTTTGAAACATTACTATGCTCAGTTTTATTTATTTATAACGGGCGTTTAACCACAGGGACGACCTGAGAAGTAGTTAATTTTTTTCCTATAGATTCCACATTTAGAGGTTTTGTGAGTCGAAGCATTTAGTCCTGTTTAAACAAGGCCCTGACCTGTGCCCTGTCCGTGACTGGTCTGTCTTTGTGGTCGCAGGCGCACCTGGAGGAGGGCGCTCAGGCCGTGCGTATGTCTGGCCCCTGTTGGGTCTTGTACTTGGACCCCGTGTTGTGCATCATCATGGTGACCATCCTGCTGTACACCACGTACCCCCTCCTCAAAGAGTCTGCCCTGATCCTGCTGCAGACCGTCCCCAAACAGATCAACATGGACAGTCTGAACGAGCGCCTGCTACGTCTGGACGGCGTGCTGGCCATCCACGAGCTGCACATCTGGCAGCTGGCCGGCAGCCGCATCATCGCCACGGCGCACATTAAGTGCCACGACCCCACGGCTTACATGGACGTGGCCAAGCGCATCAAGGACTTCTTCCACAACGAGGGGATCCACGCCACCACCATCCAGCCCGAGTTTGTGACCTTCAGCTCCGCGAAGGGTGACTCCCAGTGCGAGCTGGCGTGTCGGACGGTCTGCGCGCCCAAGCAGTGCTGCGGCGCCCCCGACAAGAGCGACCCCAAGAACTCTGAGGGCACCTCTCCCAGCACCGTGGAGGTCGTCAATGAGACAGAGGAGCAGCCTGTCCCCAGGGAGACCAGTGCTGAGGCAGAGTCCTCTCTATAGGCCGAGGACCGGTGCCGAGTCCTCTCTATAGGCCGAGGACCGGTGCCGAGTCCTCTCTATAGGCCGAGGACCGGTGCCGAGTCCTCTCTATAGGCCGAGGACCGGTGCCGAGTCACGGCTGGACTCCATGTGTCTTGATTACACAAGTATTTATGAGCCCAAAGGTTTCAGCATAAAGGGCGAATGACTGGATTTTCTAATCATCACTTCATTTGCTGAGACTCTATTTTAGTTTCACTCGAGTGATACTTTGTGAAATGGAATGTTCAAGAGTTTAAGGTTAATTCATTTATTTTGAGAACTACTATAAATATTCTATTGAACGAGATAATGTAATAACGCCAACAGTGTTTAGAGATCTGTCGTGTGCATCTCGATGGATGCTTAAAACTAAGAGCTGTTATAAACATTTAGACCACTTTTTATTTATGCAATTTGACCTGTGCCCCTCCCCTTCAGAGCATTCCCCTGGAGACCTGCTCTGATGCAGTTTCTATTCAATTCCAACATTATGCACAAAGTAGAAATCACTCCACATAGAGTTGAGGCCAGGACCTGTGAGTCAACCCTACACTCCCCTTTAGAGAAGACTGGTGCTCAGGAAGCCATATTCCAAATGTTTATTTTCATTGAAATAAACCTTAAGTCTGACCTAAACCTTCTGTCTGCTTCGCCACATTCAAAATATTTTTTTCTTGTATATAAACTTTCACATCACTGGCCTTAATTACTGCCGTCTCTAATCACTATCAGCAGAAATCCTCACGTCTGTGTTCAGTGACCTCTAGTACCGGCTGTGGACATTAGTTCACTTATTTCTTGGCTTTTCTGGCAACATGAGGCCGTCCTGCTTTCCGGACCATAGACTGTATATGAGGAGTGGACTGATCCAGTGACATCACCACAGTGTTAGCCTTAGTGTGGAAGAGGGCACTAGCTAGCCAACTGGAGGCTCAATACAGCAGGTGCACAGAGGACGATAAACTACAGATTTAAGCCCAAAATGATGTCACACAAACAGTTACTGAGAGAGATGAGGTTACTGCTTCATGAAAGTCAATAGGAGCTAGCGTGTTAGCATTGTCTATCTGTATACAGTCTATGGTCGGGATCTGCGTGTAAAAAGTTATTTTAAAAATTGCAAGAGTTCAAATTTGTGTTTGTGTGGTGAATTGTGCCAAAACTGCTTGAACACACATGGGCCTTTCCTCAAGTCGCATTCCCAATCCTCAGGGTCAATCTGCTGTCGTGGGTAATGACCACAATAACACATATATATATATATAGCCTAAAGGTTCACGATAGAAGTATTTTAATGGAGGCTCCTTCACCCGCTGTCTCATGAAGATAGATAGTATTGTCTTATCAGGAATGTTCTAGGAATATTGACTGGACCCATCTTGGAATAGGCCATGTTAGTACTCTCTTGTCAAACTTGCAATCTATTATTATGCTGGTTTCTCTGTTCTCTCTCTCTCTGGTCTCTCTCTCTCTGATCTCTCTCCGGTTTCTCTGGTCCTGCGCTGTGACTTCAAGACTTTGTTTTGTTTTGACACATTCTCGTCGTCTTTTACCTTTTTTTTTTTTAAACCTTTTTACCTTTTTAAAACTTTGAAAAATCCCATGAGAAAAGTCACCGAACAGGAGTTTATTTATGGAACTAGAACCAGACCCTGAGCGTTACCCCCGAGAGTCCCCCTTTACCCACAAGTGCCGTAATCCAACATAATCCAATAGGTGCCCCATTATTCAACAGATTGATTAGATTGACAAAGCTGCCATATTGTTCTGTCTGACAGTCCTTTCTGCTGGTCAGCTTCATGCAAATGTATTTGAATATAGTCACCACTCCAAGACACCTTTTATGAGAAAATAATGAGATCATAGTTGATAGAGAAAGAAGAGACCAGAGATACTACAGAGAGAGGAGAGTCCAGGGACTTCCGGATGTAGGATTTCTTCTGTAAAAGTATATCATGTCAGGATGAAGAGAAGGTGTTTTTCCAGGTGTGGGGCTGAAGCTGAAGGTGCTGAGGTTCTAGTTCAGCCGTGTTACTTTATTTACCTTGTGATGCAAAGTGCTGGAGCGAGTGTGCGAGGGCTTTTCCACTCGCTGCTGTTTTATAAGGAGCTGTATGTTTTGTGTCTTTGTGAATAAAACTGTTGTAACTCACTCCTCGTCTATCTGGACTCTGTGCCCTGGGTACTTGGATACTTCTGCTTCATAGGTCGGTTCGTGAGGTATGAGGGTGATCAGAAACACACACGGTGAAAGAAGTAAACTGCTTTAGATCCAGGAACTAGACAAATCCATCTTCCCATCAACCCTGACACACTGTCCCAGAAGAAAAGCAGCCCCACAGGATGATGCTCCTGTCGTGGGATGGTGCGTGGAGAATGTTTATTTTCCACCACTTTGACCAATACAGTTGTCATCTGACGACTGCAGGAAGAGATCCACAGAATTAACTAATTTATGATTATTTAAAAAGTTTTACTGAGTTTTAAGCAAATGTCAGAACAGTTTAGTTTCCCGTTGTGTGTCAGGGCTGTGTGTCCTCCACTGAGAGCAGACAAAAGAGTTTGGCTTTCTCCACAATCGCTGTGTTAGCAAAGAGGAACTGGCCAGACATACACACACAGACACACACACTCGCACAGAGACACACACACAGTCTCACTCACACACACAGAGACTCACATGCCCCTGTCCCACTGTGAACCCCAGCTGCTCCCGTTCCCCCGCTGTCAGGTCCAGGAGCAGAGACTTCAAAGAGAGAGTGTGGATCAGAACACACTGAAACATGAGCACAGCCCACGGGTCACTCATGGAGAACATTTACTTGAAATGAGGATTTAGGACTGATTCAGCCCCAATTAGCCTCAGTTTAGCTCCATTCACTTACAGCAAGTGAATTACTAAAGCCACAGCTGCCCTGGGGCACACTGACCAAAGCGAGGCAACCAGTCTGTGCCATCACCAACCGTTCACACACCCAAGACTCATTCTAATGCGGGTGAAGTGTCTCGCCTAAAGACACAACCACACACACACACACACACCACCCTCTCTCTGACCGAGCACACTATCATACGTACTGCAGAGGAGGCTGATCTGAACATAATCTGGAGCCAAAAATGTTTGCAGTGTTTTTTGCTTGCTCTAACGATATACAGTCTATGGCTCTAACCCATAACGGAGAGATGTGGAACAGTTTCAAGTCGTCGTCGTCATGGTTTCTGGTCTCTGTAGTCACTCTGTTCTGAGCGGGACTCTAGTAAATCACTGACTTTCTACTGTTCAGAGTCCAGCAGCAGATAACCTCTGTGCTGGTACTCTGTCCTGAGAGACTAGAGAAGGAGAGAGACCAGAGGGGAAGAGAGACCAGAGAGAGGGTGACCAGAGAGAGACCAGAGAGAGGGTGACCAGAGAGAGAGACCAGAGAGGGAGAGAGAGAGAGAGAGACCTGAGCGAGAGAGTATAGAACCTGCAAACAGAGTGATAGTTAAGAATGTACAGTGAACCTTTAAACATTTCGCCACATTTCAGGCTTCAAATATAAAGATATACAATTTTAATTTTTTGTCATGAATCAACAAGTGGGACACAATCGTGAAGTGGAACGAAATTTATTGGAATGGAAGGAGTATCAGACCACTGCAAATCTACCAAGACCCGGCCGTCCCTCCAAACTTTCATCTCAAACAAGGAGAAGACTGATCAGAGATGCAGACAAGAGGCCCATGATCACTCTGGATGAACTGCAGATAACTACAGCTGAGGTGGGGATGTTGTGTTCAGGGTGATGAGCTGTGTTGCTTTTACGCCAAACATCGTTTTGCATTGTGGCCAAAAAGTTCGATTTTGGTTTCATCTGACCAGAGCACCTTCTTCCACATGTTTGGTGTGTCTCCCAGGTGGCTTGTGGCAAACTTTAAACAAGACTTTTTATGGATATCTTTGAGAAATGGCTTTCTTCTTGCCACTCTTCCATAAAGGCCAGATTTGTGCAGTGCACTACTGATTGTTGTCCTATGGACAGACTCTCCCACCTCAGCTGTAGTTATCTGCAGTTCATCCAGAGTGATCATGGGCCTCTTGGCTGCATCTCTGATCAGTCTTCTCCTTGTTTGAGATGAAAGTTTGGAGGGACGGCCGGGTCTTGGTAGATTTGCAGTGGTCTGATACTCCTTCCATTTCAATATAATTGCTTGCACAGTGCTCCTTGAGATGTTTAAAGCTTGGGAAATCTTTTTGTATCCAAATCCGGCTTTAAACTTCTCCACAACAGTATCTCGGACCTGCCTGGTGTGTACCTTTGTCTTCATGGTTCTCTCTGCGCTTTAAACAGAACCCTGAGACTATCAAAGAGCAGGTGCATTTATACGGAGACTTGATTACACACAGGTGCATTCTATTTATCATCATCAGTCATTTAGGACAACATTGGATCATTCAAAGATCCTCACTGAACTTCTGGAGTGAGTTTGCTGCACTGAAAGTAAAGGGGCCGAATAATATTGCACGCCCCACTTTTCAGTTTTTTATTTGTTAAAAAAGTTTAAATTATCCAATAAATTTCGTTCCACTTCACGATTGTGTCCCACTTGTTGATTCATGACAAAAAATTAAAATTGTATATCTTTTTGTTAGAAGCCTGAAATGTGGCGAAAGGTTGAAGGGGGCCGAATACTTTCGCAACGCACTGTATTTTCAGCTGAAAATGTCTCTAAACCAAGTCTTGAGTCTTCTCTGCAGCGGACAGTGGGACTTGTTGCTGTGTTCTTGTGCTTCTGTGGACACAGCTCTTCTCTTTCAGCTCACAGTTGCTGAGGTCAGTGATTCCTTTAGTCTGCGACCCTCACAGAAACCACTCTGTTCTGAATGGCCCCTCACCTGCTCTTTGTCTGTGAGAACTCAGAATTCACGCCATGGAACACCAAGACGAGTATTTTAGGTTTTACTAAAGCTACAGCAGCATTCTGGTTCAGAGAGAGAG